CGCTTAGCTGTGGTCGCTTATGTAGTATGTTACCATATTTGGGACTCTCTGCTCGTGTACTATAGCTATGCTTCCAGACTCTTCTGGTACTGTCTAGGACAATCCGTACTACTCTAGAACGGTCTAGACAGGTCTATGCCTTACTCATCTCTTACTCATCCTATGGTGCGATACGTCGCAATTCTTTCGTCGTTGTATTATTCATCGCACTATGGTACATGTGACTAACCACTCTTCGATTAGTCATGGACTCTTCTCTGTAGTATATAAGGACTTCAGATTGCGTCCTCCCTCTTCAGTCTTTCCTTACTGACTGAAGAGTGAGTACTTCGTTACCTTTACCTCTAACTTGTAGTTACTTACTTAACCTTTGTAGTCTTGCTTCGACTCTAGGTACAGTTCGTTGCTGCAATATAGTCTTTCCTTACTGACTGAAGATCTTGCTTCGACTCTAGTCGGATCTAATCCTTGTCTTCACAGCCCCGAGTTTATCACCAAACTAATGGGCCGAGTCGCGAGCGGCGTCACGGCTAGCGTACTTCGCAAAGCGCCGATGACCGTAGCTAGCATCAGCATTCTAAGTCGCTGGAATGGCACGACTGATGCCAGTACATTTACAGATCATCTACAAAGCTCAAGGCAGCAACACCTCGTGGGAATGGTTGCAGAATATCTCACCATGTATCGCCCTCCTCCGACAGCTCGCCACGCAAATGCATGCCACCTTCGGCGCGCGTCTAGGCACCAAGCACCACACTCCCGAACGCGATCGGGATGTCATGACGCTGCGCGAGGCAATGCAGCAGCACTCCGTGTTCCAAGTGCAGCCTGGGCGCATCTTGCGCGGGGTGAACAGGGGCGAAGTTCCAAACGCGGTCTCAGCTGGCCTCAACCTACTCAACACGCCTCTTCAGGAGTACAACCATGTTTTCCGGCAACTCCAACAGCGACGGCGTCTAGAGCCCCTTGGCCCCATCCCGCAAGACTGGCCGTCGACATCCCCCACGCCGTCTGTGGACTCCACGCCCACGGCGACAGGCTCGCCAATGAGGCAGGGCCCCATTGCTGTCGCGCTCCCGGAGATTACGGTAGGACGACCCACTTATATGCTCTGGGGCAGACTCAAACTGCAACATCACAGGATGATACCTCCGGTGAGGGCGGATGGGATGACGACGACGAACTCTATTGGAAGGACGTCGATGACGACTACCACCCGCGTATGGTGTTCGCGCAGGACGATGATCCCACAATAGAGTTGGAGGACTTTTGATGTATCCCTAGCATATGATCAATTCGCACTACTCGCTGTCTAGCTTTTGAGCTCGCCATGTGGCCTGAGAGGCTACACCTCTCTTTCCCCTAGGAGGCTCTACACGATTTTGCCTAAGTACATTTTCACACGCCTTCCTAATCTGGACGCCGTGCCAGGAGGGCTTCCAGTTTGACCAGTCGTTACGGTACGCTGCCTTAATTCACACTCCGCCGCTGATGCGTACCGTACGACTGGTTCGAGTCTAGCCTTTGACGACGAGCGGAGTCATTGGTCAATCCCTTTGTCCCCGTCCATCACCACGAGTTTCCTACGACTTCGAAGTAGGCTGTTGCTCGAGGCAATGGACAAACGCGATGAGAAATTCCTGCACAACGTTTCCATTCCAGAAAGAACCATCTCCTACCCATCGAACCTCACGAACCGCCGGGACATTCGCACATATGTCGCCCGCGAAACCAAACGGCGTCTCCGAATCATCGACGTCTGCAGAGACGACATTGTTCGGCTTGGGGAACTACATAATAACCTCGCCCCGGTGAATGCGCTTCCTGTGGAGGTCCTTAGCCACGTCTTCGTGTACCTGCTCAGCCCTCCCGGAGCCCCTATCACGCAGGGCCACGCAAAGTTTTTGAAGGTCGCCCATGTTTGCCATCGCTGGCGCACGATCGCACTCGAAAATCCCACGTTATGGACATCTTTTCCCCTTCATCACGCCGAGATGGTCGAGCAGTGTGTCAATCGTTCCAGGCAATTGCCCATCACCGTCTCTCTCACCCGAGGCATGCCGAAGTCCATTCCTCAGTTGGTCGCCTCCGCCTCTTGTCGCGTACGCTCAATCTGGATCTCGACGAAGAGCGGCTCTGACGTTGGGCAACTGCTAAGCTGCTTCGGCTCCGCACCCCTCCTGGAATATTTACACGTCGAGGCTAGCGGAAATGATCCTCGTGCTTCTTTCGACAGCTCCGTCAGGCCCTCGGTCCCATTGCTGTTCAACGGGCACGCGCCGTCCCTCCGCTACCTAGTCCTCCGCAACGTGCAGTTACTCTTCCCCCCGTCGAACACGCTGCGCCATCTGGAGCTTGGGGCAAGCCCCAACGATCTTCATCTCCCTGCCGTCAAGGAGGTTCTCGATGTCTTGGCCAATTGCCCCGAGCTCGAAGAGCTGAAGCTCAGTGGCCTGTGTCAGGATTGGGAGTTCGTCGAGGAAAGGAACGTCGCGCGAAGGAAAGTCGAGCTACCACAGCTCCGGTCGCTTACCTTGGGACTGGAGTTCGCAGCCGATATCGCCGAGCTTCTCTCGCAAGTTTCTGTCCCTGAGCAGGCTTGCATCCAGATCTCTACAACCCTAGGGGACGAGGAAGATTTAAGCAGCATCATGCATGCTTACGTTCCCGACTCTCCTCACTCCCTTCGATGCCTCGACAAAGTGCGTGCGGTCCAGCTACAATGGCAAGACACTCATCTGTGGCTACGCACGCCTCGTGGTGACGTGCACGAAACTTTCCTCGACTGGCACGATTCCGACATTTCGCTCGAAGTGTGGGCTTCCGGAGATTGGGGAGACTCACCTTATGCCGTTGGTGGCTTCCTAGATGGACGCTGGCCGTTTGACACGTCTCATGTCGAAGCGCTTGCTATCGTCTTCTCGGGAATCAGCGAGGAAATCGACGACGACGAGGATCCGCGGGAGCTCATGCGCCTGCAGCAATGGACGACAGTGCTCGGGACTCTACCGGCTTTGAAGACGGTATCCCTATCCTGCTTCCTTTCTCTCGAGCTGGACCCACTCATCGATCTCTGGGCGGGGACAGACGGGGAAGTGTACTGTCCGAAGTTGGAGTCGCTGGGCTTTTCGAACCTGGAGATGTCGGAGCGGACTATGGAAGGGGTGTATAATATCGCCGTGAAGCGGCTGGACGGACGGCCAGATGGAGGCTTCAAGGAGATGTACTTCAACGACTGTGGGACACCCTCTCAGATGCAGTATAGAGGCGACGAATGGACGGTGAAGCTGGCGGAGCTGGGTGTGAAGGTGACGATCGACGGGAAGGTTGTGAAGGCGAGGTCTCAGCGCGGTTCGCTGCAGTGTAGGCTACCTAGAGCCATCTCCTCCCGTAGAAGGGCTTAGTACAAGGCATCGCCTCGTTCATGTCGCCGCGTCGCATGGTCCGAAGGCGGGTCGAAGCAGCTCGGCGGGTTACATCTGTATATGTAATTGACTCCCGGCGTTTTGAGCGAGTACTGTCATAGTGTTTGTGATTTCCCCCATGTGAATATTTGCCTTGCAACGTTCATGGCTCCATGACTGGGATATGTGCATGATCGGCCATTCGTTGATGACCGGTGTGCTCTGGTCGCTGTCAACTCAGCCTGCAATTGAGCGTTCTCGGCCAAGCGCTCTGCCACCAAATATTGAAGTTGACCGGCGCCTGTTCTCGTTCCTTGTTCACCTTCATCTTCCGCTTGCCTTGACACCGTGCTACCTGGTGTTGGCACCTAAATGTCAGACGACTCGGAAGCCGATGGTGTACGCGCGCACAACCTCCCTTTGGTCCGCAACGTTGTCAATGCATCTCAGTCGGTAGACTCTCACGATGAACTCGGTATGCTGCTAGCGCAGGATATGGCCGCCGTCGAGGGACCCATGGGCGATATCCACACGCCGCCGCAAAGGTTCAACTCTTTGTCGCCTGTGAACACCCTACCGCCGGAGCTGCTTGGACTTATCTTCACATTCCTCGTTCGACCTGCGAATCTGCAGCCCAAACCACGCCGTGCACGAGGGACTATGCTACCCGACCCCCAATACGACCGCCCAACTCAGGTTCCACAAATGAATGCGAATATCGTTCGGGTAATGCACGTTTGCAAGTACTGGCGCGCGGTGGCCATCGAAACTCCTGACCTATGGGCGTCCTTCGCCGTCTTCCATCCTGGCTTGGTGCAAGAGTGTTTGGTACGCTCGAAGACCGTCCCCCTGTCCGTTTCCATAGGGTACGCCGTTTCGCCGCATGTCTCTCCCATCCTTGGAGATTCCGTCCATCGCCTGCGCTCAGCGTACGTCTTCCAGAAAACGAAAGTAATAGAGTCGATTTGGCGCCAGCAGCTTTTCACGCGTCCGGCACCTAGCCTAGAAGAGTTGTTCATCGAGAATACTGAACGACACTGTTGGATGGACGGCGCTCCCATCCCGGAGGATGTGACATCTCCACTGCCAGCGATGTTCAGCGGCGTTATCCCACGTCTGCGCATCCTCGTCCTCAAAGGCGTACCTATGCCATTCACCTCCCTCCCCGACACCCTGGTCCACCTTGAGATCGGGGGGTTATCCTCAGTTCCACTGCCTTCGTTCCCATTTTTTCTCGCGATGCTTCGAGCCTGTTCATCACTCCAAACCCTGAACATCGCCGGCTCGTTCGAAGGCGAGGCCGGGCCCCTTGCCGTCGCTTCCGATGCTGTTGCCCTTCCGAAGCTGGAAAGACTGTATATGGAGCTGGAGCCTACGCGCGCTCCGGGAGTTTTGCTCGCCTCCCTAGCTCTCCCGGCTCACGCTGACGTAGCGGTCCTCCCCGCTGTGCACGATGGCGGACGCTTCCGGACCCTGCTGGGCGTCATCACTCCGTCTTCCGCTCCGCCGTGCTTCCAAAGCTTCCGCTGTCTTCGGGCTGCATGGGATACCACCTACCAGTGGAATCTGCAGGCCTACCGCGAGACTAGCGCACAATCAAGTTCGGGCCGCGCCGCACTCGAAATCGACGGGAGGGACGATAGGTGGGCCCTGCCCAACGTGCCCGAGGATTGGGCTGGCTTCCTCTACGACTGGCCATTCGATCCCTCTCAGATCGAGATGCTCGTTCTGGACCATCACCCGGAGACAGAGGGCACCCGAGGGGGTCCGTTTTTCGGGCAATGGGACCGCGTATTCGGGCAGCTACCCGCGCTCACATCCCTCACGGCGAAGCACCTCCCGCCCTCGGAGATGGAGTCCCTCCTCGAGGCCTTGAAGGATTCCACGTCCAGGACAGGGCTGGTCTGCCGAGGCCTAGTGACGATGAAAGTCTCTAGTAAGCAGATATCCGACCGAGCGCGAAGCGGCTTGGCAGAAGTCGCCCTTGCGCGCAGTCTGGGTATGAGAGAAAGCTTAGAGAGCGCGTTCCAGAGTATACACATCGAACAGTAGTCGGACATTTGCATGGCGTACTGCTACTCGCTATCTTCGATGTGAGGCTTAGATATTGCAGCTACAGAGCATCCCGGGGGCGGTCCGCGTGCTGCTGTTATCGCGTTCCGTCAGGCTCATATCGATCAGATGTTCCGGCAGCGTACCTGTTATATTGTATCAATAATTTTGATTGTGCTTTTCCGCGTGTTACATGTAGCTTTACTTGAGCGGACTCGTGCTTAGCTACTTTATCAGATCGCTCTTCTTGTCATTCTCGCACCACGCTCTCTTCGTCAATGTCGTGGACTATTGTTAACAAGTAGCCCAGAATCTCTGTTCAGTTGTGTTTCTGCCTTACTTCCCCGTTCATGACGTTGTTGACCCAGGCCCATCCCGGTGATGGACCAAGGACATCGTCGTTCCAGGTTACACACGAGAAATAGCGCACCGTTGCGATATATATAGAATTCCTCGCTCTGGGCGTCGCCCCCTATCTATGCATCATTTCGCCAGCCAATGACTTTTCTGAGGTCAGACATTGGCAAACGGTGTGGTTTGCAACCCCGTCGCTCCTTGCCGAATGCCAACGCTCATACATACAGCTCCCCATGGAGGTATCGGGGAACAGAACGATCTTCCGCTATCGGTGCGTCTCGTCCTACAGCGAGTAGTTCTTCAATCGATCAGCCTTGATGCCGGCAACGAGCTCACGCAGCAGCACAGATATGGAGATGGACGCCGCGAAGAACGACGAATCGTGAGCACCTAGTCATACAAGGGGTGTTGTTGCTACATTGCTTCGTATACACAGCGAAAGCATTCACGACCTCCGGGACTGGTCCTCGCCAGCGACGTACTTGTACGCCGTCTGTGCGGCGTTCGACGCGACGGAGGCCGCGCCAGAGGCAACGGACGACGCGGTCTCGTACGCGGTCTGGGAAACCCCGCCGAGGCTCCCAGTGCGGGTCGCGCCAGTACCGGCCGAGCGGGCGTTTGCCCAGCCGTCGGCTGTAGGAGACCGCGGTCAGCATACACGATGTGATGTGAGACGAGGGGGGATGAGTGGGACATACCATCGTTGGAGTGCTCGCTTAGCGGGTCGATGTGCGTGGACTCGATGATGCCGGGGCGGCCCTCGACGACGCCCGCGGTCTGCTTGAAGTTGCGGGCCGCGTCCTGCTGCCCGGTGAAGTTCGCGCTGGCACCCGCACCGAGTGTGTCGGTGGTGGGGTCGGTCACCTATCGGTTGGGGGACAATGAGCCACGTTCGGAGATAGGGGGCTGATGAGAAACGTACGAAGTTGGTGTGCATGGGGTCGAGGACGGAGGAAGGAGTGGGGTTGGCGACGCCGGGGTAGATGTCCACAGCCTTGTTGGCTGCGAGCTGGGTGTCGTTGAGAGACATTATGGTGATCGTAAGAAAGTGGTAAGAGAAAGTGGGTTGGTTGGGGAGTAAGTGGGTTAGAAGTTAGTGAAGTGGGTGATATTGGCGGTCTGTCAAGGCTTGAGGGAGACTTATATATATCTGTGTTGAACGCGGTCAGGGAGCGGGCATGACGTCTGTGGGGGAGGAGCTAGGCGATTCGTCACTAGGTTGGTGTCTCCGAGCCTGGGTGGGGAGGATATCCAAACCAACTGTGCATTGACTGTCTGACGTCACTTACCTTCGTTGGTAACACACCATCCTGAATCTGGGAGCACCGTGCACGAGATTACTCGTCCTGCCGCATATCATTGCACTAGTACTGTGGATTAAAGTACTTCGCACGCCATGTTGACCGCATACGAGACTGGGAATATTTGGATGGGTTACTTATTATGTGATGTCGACGGTGGTGTAGACCCGGGATGGCTTTGGGCCATAGGCGCCCAAGCCAACTTCTAGACGTCAAGGCGATTAAATGGGGTTACGCTGTGCTCGAGCACTTCCATCATTCCACAGCACGTGGTTGCGGGATAAGAGTCTCGGTTGACATTCGAGAGTGCTGTTGAATTCAGCTTGCGCACAACCGAGCAAGCATCTATAGCTTAGAATCATGTAGAGGCCGTGCTCGAGCATCAAAACCTACTTGCATGAGCTCTCCGGAGCGGATCTATAGGTCGCATTGAATCGCACGAGCCACGGTGGGCGACTAGCGTAGGCAGTAAAGTACTTCCAGATTATGTACTGGGAAGCTGTCAATGCTTGTGGTCACCAAAAGAGACTGCAGACAAACCTCACATAGACCTTCACGAGAACTCCCGACGATCAGGGAAGTACTTTTCTCTAGCCTCTCTGCTCAGGATGTGCACCGCGAAGTCACCAGCGTCGATCATAGCCCAGCTGCCGTTGGCTCGTCGCTTGTTGTTCGGCGGAAGAGGGACAGGCGAGTCACAGGTAAGGAGCTAACACCGGTATGAGCATTCATGGAATAAAGGTCAAGGAGCTCAGAGAGAAAAGCTCACCGCTTTCCTCACAACCCTGATGACCGACTCGATCGCCCCGCGGTTCTCCGTGCCGTCCTTCACTTGAGCGATGACGAGCCATTCCCAGATGCCGCCCATGTTCTCTGCCACGCCCTCGCCGACATACGTCCTGCCCCTCTTCCGCCTGCCCTTCGGCATGGACTCCGGTAGCGGAGGACCAACCGCGGTAGGTATAGGGCTTCGGACTAGCAGGGTGCCCGGCTCCAGGTGAGGCGAGCTCTTCAGCTCCGCGTGCAACCGCACGATGGGATGGTCAGACGGCAGATCCGCGGGAAGGGGAGGTAACGGTCGTGTGGGTGCCTGTGCGAGACCGACACGACGGGCGTACGAAGACGGAAGCGCGGGGTCATCTGAAGGGTCCATGAACCATGGCAGAGCCGACGAGGAGACAGGAGACGCGCTTGATGAGGGCGAAATGGAGGAAGACGAGGGTGCGGACGACGTGAGAGCGCGCCGGGCGAGGTCTTGGCACGGACGCGCACGACAGCGGAGCGTACATGCGGCCAGACTCTGTGTTTCCTTCCTGAGGGCGGCAGAGAGCATGTTGGTGTCCTCGTTCGCGCTCACGGAGAGAGAATCCAAGCAAAGGGAGAGCAGGTGCCAACGACGAGACGGCACAGAGGATGGTCAAGGACTGCACAGTACTGACAGAACCGCAGAGCGCCCGTAGAAGGCGGGATTTGCCGGCGCGGGCCGGGGCGTGCCGCAGGCCAGGGGCGCAAATATTTCTGCTGAGAAGACAGCTGGGCCTGGTTGGCTGTCAGAATCACAAGCTGTCCCTCAGCTGCTTCCCTGCCAGTGCTTTGCGCAGAGGGCCTCTCCCCCTTCCCACTTCCTCCCCTCATCCCCCTCGCCGCCGCCATCAACACCCAACACACAATGGCAGGCCTCCGAATGAGCGTCGTGGTCAGCGCGACCGCCTTCCTTCTCGGTGCGTTGTCATCTCTGCGCGCCAGCGCTTCGCCGTGCATGGGCAGGGTCACTCACTTGTTCCTGGTTTCTCGTTCCCACCATGGCTTACGATCACTGACATCGTCCTCCTGCTCCCACAATGCAATGGATGGTCTTGAACGACAGGCCTGCTCTTCACGCACTGGATAGCGGACTCGCTGACGTTGTGGAAGTCGCCTGACACGCAGACGGACAGCAGACTGTGGACGGCGGCGGCGTATTATGCCGTGCTCATGCACGGGCCACCTCAGCTGGCGTATGTTTACGGCGCAGTGGCCGTCATCGGGGCTGCGACCATCCTCTGGAGCCTGCGGGACGGCCGGGCAGGGAATCTGATGTTCGACGGCGGGAGCATATGTGAGTTCTCGCGCTCCCATCTCCGCAGCCTCCCGTGCTGAGCGTGCATCCGGCACACAGTCCTGTACCTCACGGGTATCTTCGTATACCTTTACTCCGTCATTCCAAGTGCGTTCCGTCGCCTCCCTATGATTCCGATCAGCAGCTGAACCGATTACCGTCGATCCGTAGACCTCCGCGCCAACTTCTCCACCCTCCCTCTACCTTTCACGGCCCCATGGCCTCCCACCGACCTCCCAGAATTCCCCAAAAGCCTGCGTGAGCCGACGCTCGAGCTCGCGTCCTCCCACCTCGTCTGCAGCGTCGTCCTCACGGGCGTCCTTGCGCTCCAAGCCGGGCGCTGGTGGGCGGAGCAAGCGGACGTCGACGACGACGACGAAGACGAGATGCGGGACGACGCCGGCGCAGAGACCGGCGCGGAGACCGACAGGACAGAAAGCGAGATGGAACGGGAGACGGTGCGCCGGAGAGACGTGAAGGCCAGGGCATGACGGGCCCCGTTAACGCCGTTTGCGCGGATCAGCGGACGGCAGGCAGACAGAGCCTCTGCTCTGTCCAAACCCTTCCCAGCAGATCGCAAAAGTAGTTGCGACGCGCACGCAGCCGCGATGACGATGACGACGACGATGACTTGCCCGTTGGGTGCTCTCGCACGGATGGGGCGGCGCCCTCTCCTCGCCTCCTGCCCCGTTGCCGTTCAGATCTAGGACTTGGCCGTTGCATCTTGGGTATATATGTATATTTGCGCACACATGCAGAATTGCCATCCGTCGTGCGGTCCGCTGACACTCAATGTCGACCCCCGCTCGTGCGCTCATGAATTCATGCGGCGGGACCTGGTGGGCCCGGAGATATTTTCGTACTCCGTACCGGACATCGGGAGAGTTAACCTCGACGTCCGGCGCAGATTTTGGCCGCGGAGCGTGCCCGCGGGACGAACCCCGCGATGTCGGCCTCGAGGGTCCCAAAGCCTTTTGGCGTGGTTATATCGCTTCTGTCCAAGCGCTCGGCGCCCTTGACGCCGGAGGTGCCGGTGAACGTGCAACGTACGCTGAAGAACTTGAGTACTTCATTTGACATCGGTCAGTCTCCCTGTCTCAGGATGTTTCATCCACGTCTGCTGTCCATCACCCTGCGTGCAGTCCGCGGTATGTGTCGACGCTAGGGTACGTGAACTTTTGCGCCCGCTCTCCGTCTCCCAGGGCATTTCCCATGTCATTCTCGTTGCCGTCGGAGGCTCAAAGCTGTACTGAACGCCCGGCATGTGCATGTGGCCGTGTCACACGAGGCAGAGTTGAGTAGAGGCGAGTCAGGCAGCCGCACGCAGTCTGAGAAGGATGGAGTCTCGTACAGCAAGCTGTCCATTCTGACCCCTATATGTACAACAGAGATTGACAGAGGACGAACAAGAAAAATCTATGTGTGGGTGGCCCATACATTATGCCTGTATATGACCGGCCATCCCTGGGACGGTGTGTGGACCGCGCAGGAGGGGTGCAACATAGTACATAAGTACGTTTCGCGAGGATAGGTGAGGACAAGAAGGTAGAGTGCGCCTGAGCGCGGCGCATACAGTCTGGGCATACAAACATAAGCATAGGAGGGTGCGGGATACGAGGAAGAGGAAGCGAGAATAACGAGACAAAGCTACGAGCACGAGACAAATAATAGAATAACGTTGTGGGGCATAGGTCATGTCCGCTCACTTCTTCGCCGCCTGCACATAGTATGTCTGAGTCTTAGTATGTGGCATGAAACCCGAGACGCACCTTCGCCCTCGCGCTCCGTGCGGCGGTCTTCTTGGCTGCAGGTGCCTTACCAGTCGCAGCCTGACGGAGTACATATCAGTCGACGATCGAGTTCATTCTCAAACTATGCTCACCTTCTTAGCAGTATCACGCCGACCTGCAGCAGTAGTCTTCTTAGGAGCCGCAGCCTTCTTCGCAGGTGCCTTCTTAGGGGCAGCAGCTGCGGTTCTCTTAGCCGGTGCCGCCTTAGCCTTAGTTGCTGCGGGCTTGCTCGCGGTGGACCTAGCCGGAGCAGCCTTCTTGGTGACAGCGGTCTTGGCACCAGGCTTCTTCACTGCAGCGGCCTTCTTCGCGGTCGAGGACTTGCTCGTGGCAACCTTGGGGGCCGGCTTGGCCTTGACGGGGGCCTTAGCAGGAGCCTTAGCAGACTTGGAGTCAGGCTTGTTCTGCCAACCAGGTCACTACCGAGAGACACAGCCACGAAACAGCCGTGCGCAATCTTACCTCCTTAGCAGCGGTTCCCTCAACAGGACGCGCCGTCTTGGGTGGAAGCTTAACACGTCCAGAGGGACCTGAGTGAGAGAGACATTGTGTTATATGACGGACGCTACCAGGTGAAGAGCGCGGGAAACACACCCTTCGGCAAGACGAAGACACCCTTCTCAGCGCCAGTCTGGATGGCCTTGCTGAGCTGGGTGATCTGTGCGTTGCCGATTTCAAGGTCGTACTTGTCCTCGACAAACCTTTCAAGCAGAACGAGTCAGAGGGAGACGAGGGGGACGCGGCCCAGAGACATACTTCTTGATCTGGGGGCGTGAGACGCCTTGTCGGGCATCTTCCGGATGAGCAGCGATACATTCCTGCATTTCACCAAGAGCCTTTGTCAGAATCATCGTTTCTTTTGTGCGAGAGCAATCTAGGGAGTCGCCAGGTGCCGCTGTAGTCAAACGAGACAGTGGGGCTGGCGGATGGCGAATGACCAGCAAAGGTGGCGGGCCGCGGCGGGCGGTGCCCTACACCCTGCCCCTTTTGGTCGTAAGGGTCGACCGCTCCCGTCCCATTGCTTTGGGAACGTAGACAGTAGGGGGCATCGCTGCAATACGCCCCGGAGGTTCGTTCTAACCAACCTTGATCATATCAACCCAAGACGGATGCGTGGGGGCGGCCCGGGGGGCAGACTTCTTGGTGCCAGCCGATTTGGCAGCAGCGGTCTTCTTTGTCGCAGACATTGCGTAGGATAGTGCTAGAAAGTAATAAGATGTTTCCGGTATACTTGCGAGGGCCTCGAGAAGACGGATGACGAGGACGGAATAAGTCGTGCGGAAGCGGGGCGGGGGATGGTGGTGGTACGGGATGAAGAGAGGACGTTCAGACTCCGAGGCGCGTCCAACCGTTCAACAAACTGTAATAGTGCGTCACGTGAGACTCTATCTCAGGAACCTCACAATCCGCGTTTGCCAGCAGCATCCTTGCCCTCCATACTGTGCAGAGCGAGAGATCATGACCCCAGCGAGATGTTTGTGCAATTTCTAGAGCGAGTACAAGGAGAGAAGGTCGTGAAGGATCCATTCGGGGGTTGCTGCGGTTGTCGAGGAGGTACAGACTAAATTTGTGGTCCAAATTTTCAAAAATTTGCTGGAGTACGCGTATTACGGCGTACTTCAGAGCTCTGAACACTTATTTCTAAGTGCTGATGCGGTTTGGTGTTATAATGAGGATGAGAGTGCGCCCTCTCCCTAAGGCATCGTTCCACAGCAATGACCATATGCGGACGTGTCTCGCGCCGAATCTCGCGCCAGATCTGATTGAATCAGCACGTGCCTGTGACGGCGACGTGACGCACGCATCCAGCGCGTCGGCGCCGTCAGAGCCAGGCCGCTCGCCGTCCTCTGTCCTCTCCCGGCCACTCTCGGTCACCTCTGAGTCGTCATGAGTAGCCCTCAGTCTCTGCTCGCATCAGCTCGCTCGGCATACCGCTCAGCCCTCCGCGCGTCGGCGTCCACGTTCGATGGGGACCCAGTAGTGCGCAACGGTGAGTATGCGTGTGCTGTGCGTGCACGTCCGCCCGCTCACCACGTTGTTTCAGCGTTCCGCCTCAAGATCCGTAACGAAGTTCTGCCATACAGCTCCACTCTCGACCCGAAGCAGTTTGAGGAGAAGGTCACACTCGTGCGCGAGATAGCTGACGTTCTTCGGAAGAATGTCGTCCAAGCTCGGAAGGTCGAGCACTCGCAGAGCCCAGAACAGAAGGATCTTTGGGGTACGTGCATCCTCAGAGACTTTTGGACGGGAGTTGCTGACCATACGCAGAACTGAACATCACTGAGCATACGGAGCTCGGCTCGAACGAGACAATCAAGCAGACCAAGGCAGCGATGAGCAATAGTGGAAGGAGAACAGATGGTCCAGTCAAGTAAGTCTATGAGGTCGCCATGTACTCCCTGTATTTGACGATCCTGAAATAGATGCTGCTCCTCATGACCAGTCTCGACCAGTCCTCTTCCGCCGCTTCGACCGAGTCCAGGCCGAGCGTACCGCGCTACTACTCTCAGCTCAAGAAGGCACACAAAGAACGCGTGTTACCTGAGCTGAAGGAGGAAGATCTGGAAGAGTCATTTGTGCGAGGTGCTGGGTTAAATGTGTTCGTACCGTACTCCCTGTTAATGCCAATGATCCCTGGTCACAGGAAGCGGTCCCGGCGGACAATCGGTGAACAAAACGGAGAACAATGTACAACTTCTTCACAAGCCTACCGGTATCCGCGTTACCTGCCAAGAGACTCGCTCGCTAATGCAAAACAGGAAGTTGGCGAGAAAGATACTGCTAGATAAGGTCTGAGACATTGTGAACAGTTCCTTACCAATGTACGTGTACTGAGGTCGCCATAGTTGGATGCGCTCTTCAACCCGGGTCTGTCCAAGCAAGAGATGCAGAAAGCCAAGCAGATCGAGCGAGAGCGGCGTCGGAGGAAGAAGGCCAAGAAGAAACAGCAAGGGAAGGACAAGGACAAGGAGGATAGATACGAAGAGACCGAATTGTTATCCTCATAGTGATTCTCATTGTGGTCTAGTCTCCTGTGAGGCCAGCGTAGTCCTGTTTGCCCCGGCTTTGCGTACGGACGCTACGTATCATGGGTGCAGCATTGAGGCGAGAGGCGTAACTTTCAGCTGGGCAATCCTCTCAATGTGAGGGAGAGAATTGCCAAACTGCTCAGCAAAGTCAATTGGCAAAGACAGTCGACGCGGATCAGAATGCTTCGGTCTGTTCCGGTCTCGAGCACACCCGCCACGCGCGCTGCTGTAAGTACGGCGAGCACGACCACATCCGCCTCGCTTGCCCTCATCCGCATTGCATCCTACATCTGCAATCCAGATAACGCTATCATCCACGCCCGATACTTCTCCCAAGCAACCCACCACGCAGTCCACGCAGCCGTACGAATCTCCCGCAATGGCGTCCGGCGGGCTGCACTCACTAGCGACTATCATCAAGAGGTGTGTTTGCGCCGCGCGTCCTCTCCGCTAGCCCGTATAACAGTCGCCTCGCTTCCCAAATGTAGGCTTGAGGCGACAACCTCGCGCCTGGAAGACCTTGCGTCGCTCGCGACTTCCTACCTCCCGCCGTCTGCCCAAGGCGCCGTTGCTGCGCCCTCGGTGACCTCACATTCGTCGAACGCGGAGCCGACCCCCGTCCCGCCTCCACCTCCGCCGCCCCAGGCTGCCGCTGCCGCTCCTGCGGAGACTCCGAGGAGCGTCATTGCTTTCGATGAGCAGATTGTGGAAGGGAAGCTGAAGCCGTTCGTCGAGCTCACGAAGAGCTTCGCGAGCCCTTCGGTCGTCGAGCAGGTGCGTGTTATGTCCTATCGATCTCGGACGCGTGTTCACGTGCGATGCTTGTGCGCGTGGGGACGAGTTAGGTCGGACTGGTTGAGCAGGAGTTCAAAGACCTCCGGGAGCTGCTGCTCGTCGCGGGTTCGTGCAAGCAGCCGGACCAGAGCGAGTTTGAGAAGCTGCTTGGGCCTCTTCAGAAGGACATCGAGGCCATTACTCGCGCGAAGGAAGCGAACCGCAAGGACAGGGAATGGTTCAACCATCTGTCCACTATCGCGGAGGGCGCGCCGTGCGTTGGCTGGGTCACCATCGTGAGTGTTACTGTGGTTCATTGGAAGGTTGTCCTTGAACGTCCGCCTTTCGTAGTCGCCCAAGCCTGGCCCGTTTGTCAGCGAGATCAAGGACTCCACACAGTTCTACGGGAATCGCGTGATCAAGGAATTCAAGGAGAAGTATGCGATCTATGTGGCCGTCGCTTTTGTACGAGGCTCATTATATTGGCCAGGGACCCTAAGCACGCAGAATGGGTGAAGGGCTACCTATCGCTTCTTGAGGAGCTGAAGAAGTATATCATGGAACATCACACCACGGGCCTCAAGTGGAATTCCAACGTAAGACTGCTCTGGTGATCTTGACACCGTTTTATAATCACATCCCCTCGCAGGGAATCCCTCTCGCCCAGTACAAGGCATCGTCTTCAGGTGCGCCGGCGGCACCGGCTGGCGGTGCGCCTCCACCCCCGCCTCCACCGCCTCCTCCAGCTGCGCCTCCACCGCCGGCTGCGGGTGCCCCAGCACCGGCTGCGGCCGGAGGCATTACTGCCGTGTTCGAACAGCTCAACCGGGGAGAGGAGATTACGAAGGGCTTGCGCAAAGTTGACAAAAGCCAGATGACGCACAAGAATCCCGCGCTCAGAGCAGGCGGTGTTGTTCCTGCTACCACACCCTCAGCTTCCAGCGGTGCGTTCCATAGTTGTTCTGACTGCGTCTCGATGCCCAAGCTGAACTGCGCACAGCTCCTGCGAAGCGGCCAGTCAAGCCTAGCAAGCCGCAGGCGCTGGCTGGCAAGAAGCCTGCTAAGTTCGCGCTGGAGGGTAACAAGTGGCTCATTGTGAGTACCGTCGTGCCAGGAGCATCGCCGAGGTCTATGCTAAGAAGCCTCGTCTTGGTTTTATTTAGGAATATCAGGAGAACGTGTCTCCGCTGACGGTTGACAACGTTGAGCTTAGCCAGACTGTCAACCTGTACGGCTGCAAGAACTCGACGATCGTCATCAAGGGCAAGGCGAATGCCGTCACTCTCGGTTCGTATGTTTCAATCAATGTCAGGTACCCATGCTAATCATCGAATGCTATTATGCGGGATGCCGAAACAGTCAATTGCTCGAAGACGAGCGTGCTCGTCGAATCGGTCATTTCGTCCGTGTCGGTGACGAACTCGCCATCATTCGCGCTGCAGATCACCGGAAAGGCGCCCACGATCCAGCTCGATTCGACAGACTCGGGCCAGATTTACCTCTCTAAGGACTGCCTCGACGTTGAGATCACGACGGCCAAGTGCAGCAGCATCAACATCAGCTTGCCGGTGGAGGGCGAGGAGGAGGGAGTGTTCAACGAGCAGCCTGTCCCGGAGATGTTCAGGACGACGATTGTGGACGGGAAGCTGGTCACGACCGCGGTGGAGCATGCTGGCTGAGGTAGAAATATCGGTGCTCGCATGGTCGGCATGCGTAGCGGAATCAGGGACTCGATATCAATCTACCTTTATACCTACGGTTGCGTGATGGCTTGGTAGTTGGACCATGCTGCCTGAAGTTCTACGATACTACACTTGAATGGATGTGCTCCGACGTCTGTGGCTGGAGTGCCCTCAGATCGTGCATGCGGGGTGTGGCCGATCAAATTATATTGATATCTGTATACATATCCGGATGGGTGGAGAATATTAATCAAGAAGGCTTAGAGGCGCGACCCCAAATGAGGGGGCGTCTATATCGTCGCTTCTTGACAAGTCGATCAGGCGAGCGGCTGTGTCGCTGCCGAAGCATCATCCGACCTCTCCGAGCTCAACCTCCTTCCCTGGCTGTTCGTCCTTCCCTTCCGACGACTCCCTCCCACCTCTCACTAGCATTTCCAGTCTCCAGGTATCCCCCTGGACCATCAAACATCCCAGCGCGACATATACGGTAGCTCATGGATAACCCAGGATGGCATGCTTTCCGGCGAGCGGACAAGGTCAGTGCTTCCGCACTCCGCGCGCGCGAGGACATGTTTGTTGACTCCGGCCGCGTTCTACGTGTAGGACGAAGCACGATGGAGTATGCCACACAGAGGGCCCGACGGCCGCTTCCAACCTGTCGAGGAGGTCGGTCCAATGGCCGAGCCATTCGTCGGTGGCTTCCTCCCGCCACCGTCGCCCGTGCCCTCGCTTGGACGCGGTCCCCCGCCGCCGTTGCCCCCCAAGGACGGCAACTGGGACCAGCTGAATGTGCGGCTGCCGAGTAAAGCTAGCCTGTCCGATACCATGTCGCGCACAGAGTCGACCCTGTCGGGCGCGAACTCGACGTACTCGACGTTCGCGAACATGAGCGCCGTCGAGCGGTCCAAGCACCTCCGCGTCGCGCGCATGAACCCGCATCTGCAGTACATGGTCGGCCCTCTCCTGCGCTACGACACCGTGGACGAGCAGGGCGTGTGGCGCGGCGCGGCGATGATAGTCAGTGAGTACCGCATGTCATTTCTTGCGAGCGCGCGCGATCTCCAGCTGCGAGCTGAGCGGCGCGCCACGCCATGTAGCTGCGGACGCGGGCTCTGTGTATGAGCCCCTGCCTACTTTGACGTATCATTGGGACCCGGACCTCACGCCGTCCGGAAGTCAGCTCAAGAGGCACGTTTCGTCGCGGACCCATGGGCAGTCTTTCGACCTCGGGCCACACCCAGCGGACCCGATGTCTATTGTCACGCCCGGGTCTCCGACTAGGGAGAACGAGACGTACGGCAATGGCCACGACGCTCATGTCGAGCGGCGGCGCGTTGAAGGGAAGGAGCTTTACGTGTATTACGGTAATGGCGGGCAAGTTTCCAAATCTCTTGTCAGATACGTCCAACACCTGACATGGAACGGAACGCACAGGACGTTCACCTTTTGGCGCTTCATGATTGAGATACCCTTAACAAGCCACGAGATGCGGATTAATTACACCATCAACGATGGCATCGAGCTGAACTTCCACGTACCGGGCCGTAATCAGAACATGCGTTGGGCCGCGTATTCAGTAAGTGATCCGTCTTCCCAGTCAGTGGCACAGCCGGTGTTGAACGTCAAATGTCATGAGTGTAATGGATTCAGTTCCGGCGTGAACCCCGATGACTTCCGAGGGCCCGGGTACAAGAGCGGCTACGATCCGGTATGGATGGACCTCCTTGCTCATCATGCTGAGGAGCCGTTCCACGCGCTGGTTGGAGGCGGCGACCAGCTTTACTGCGACAGTATTGTTCGGGAGCCGGAAATGCAAGATTGGGTCAACCAGACAAAGGCAGAAAACAAGAGGCATTATCGGCTAACGGAGGAGATGGCTCTGGCGATTGACCGTTTCTTCTTCAACCACTATTGTCAGTCGTTTCGTAGCGGTGCATTCGCCCGGGCAAACAGTACAATGTACGTACTGCTTGCTTGTCATCCTGTATCCGTCGACGTTAACGCTCTATTACAGACCGATGCTGAACATGCTTGGTGCGCATCACCTCTTCTATGAACCGCCGCTGTTCCTGACTGGCTCTGTCGTGCAGATGACCATGGTAAGCGGCTTGGCAAGGGTCCTGTGATGTGTTTGCGCTAACCTTTACATTGTGCAGATCTGGTAAGCTTCAAGAGAGGAGTTAGTTTCTGTCCGTTCTGGATCTGATACACCGCTCGTGAAGATCGACGGTTTTGGCAGCTGTCAGCTATCCTGGATCTCATAATGCACAATATCTGTCCCACTGACCACAACCTCAGATCCTGATGATTTGATGCGGTCCCCAGTATTCAATACGTGAGCAGGACCATACTGGGCCGTCCAGTTGCGTTCGCTCGTGCTGAACTTCTTTGATCGTCGGCCATGCGACCTTCGCTATTCCAGGATCGGGTCGCGTGGCTATTTTTTCTTCCTCTTATTCCAGTGCTTCATCAATGGTGAGACTCCTACACTGCCTACTTTCTCTTCAAATTGTTCACGGTCAGCAACCGACGCAGTCGAAGTTGACGGAAGGGATGACCGACGGCACCCTTTCAAATCGCTTGTCATCGGCGGCGATGGCCCATATATCCCATACCCGTCGCATTCGTTCCTGTGCTACTTGGGTCCTCATGTGTATATGCTGCTCCTCGACTGCAGGTATGTGCATGACATATACCTATTTCATTTTCCTACTGAGCATCGGCCTAGAGCGGAACGCAAGAAGGACCAAGTTTGCAGTCAGCGGGAGTACGAAGCCGTCTTTGCTCGCATGAAGGCGCTTCCGTCTACGGTGGAGCATATGGTCATCCAGACAGGTATGCTGCTCTGGCTGGGACTGATCAGGCCGCCTAAAATATGACTAGGTATACCCATCGCTTATCCGCGAATGGTCTTCCTTGAGACCGCCCTTGACTCGAAGTTCAACCCCTTGGTCGCTCTCGGTCGCAATGGTTCTTTAGGTCTGTCGGGCTTCGTCAACAAGTTCAACGCGGACGCTGAGCTCCTTGATGACCTGGTGAGCAATGACTATGTACTTCGGGACACAAGCACTCACTCATAACTGCAGAACGACCATTGGACCGCAAAGGCGCACAAGAAGGAGCGGAACTGGTTTATCCTCGAGCTCCAGAAGTACGCCAAGGCGACCCATGTACGCGTCAGCTTCATTTCGGGCGACGTCCATTGCGCTGCCGTCGGGCTGCTCAAGACGTTCGTCAAGGACAAGAAAAGGGGCGATGTACCTCCGCCTTTGGACCCGCGATACATGGTCAATGTTGTTTCCAGTACGTCGCCTTCGTCTCGCACGATGTTGATCGTTTGCTCACCACACCCTCCAACAGGCGCTATCGTGAACACACCGTGAGTAGCGTGCGTCTCGCGGAAACGACGACCGGCCTAAATAGTCGACTTGCAGACCACCGAATGGCGTGATCAGCCTGGTGTCTACGCTTGCCTCTAAAACTCATCGAACACTCCATCACCAGGAGACGGATGAGACCATGGTGCGTGATGTCCCACGGAGATGGAATAGATCATTGCTGACAACCGCCAAGATACCCCTTTTCGAGAGGGATACTGATGGGTCCGCGCCAAAGAGCAGGTATATCATGGGCAAGCGAAACTGGTGTAGCGTAAAATGGGATCCTTCATCCGGGGACCTCATCTGGGATATTCGGGTGGAAATCTCGAAGGGGAACGGCCAGACGACAGGGTAAGCGTGGACCCTCTGTTTGCCATGAACTTCCTACTCACTTTCCTTCCCCGTAGTTATGCCGTCCGGTCCCCTCCGCCACGGTGGTGATCGCCGAATGTGCAAACTTTGACATCCTCCCACATGCTATCCTCTCCAGCTCACGTTCACGCAAGCTATCTTATATTCGACGTGACACCGCTCGCATTCATGCTGAGATTTCCGTCCTTTGCAGAGCTGTGCTAATCGCTGCCGTTCCTTATACCCCCCACTGTATCTATTACCAGTATCTCACTGATGTAATGTGTCCTACTCTGTCTGATGCACAACTACTTTCAATCATGTTGAACGTTACAATAAGCTGATAGTCAGCGGCGAACACCGTACGAATAGGAGACAGCGTCTTCTATCGGGTCCACCTCTGCGATGTCTACATCTCCGTCCGTCTCAACACCGCCATCGTGCTGCGTAGGCTCAACATCCTCATAGTCTGTATTATATGCGCTGTTGTCGTGGTACCCTGCCAGTCCAGCGATTTGTGCATCGAGACTGGACGTTGCAGTGGGCGCGGGCGATGGAATACGCTCGCTGCCCGGCGTCGCCGCGTCGTGAACGTCAGGAGTGTCGAAGGATGGAATGATCATAGCTGGCGCATAGCGCTCGTCCTCCGCCACCGCAGGGTCATTACGGGGAAAGACACCGAGCGTCGGCGCTGGGGACTGCTCCGCCGTCTTAACCCGCTTGTTCGACGAGGTGTCGTGCGGCTTTTGTGCGGTCTTGCGCTCGCGCCGCGCCGCAGCCTGGGCTTTGCGCTTCGCTTTCTGCTGTTCCGCCTTCTCGTGCTTCGCGTGCTCTTCCTCGGCGTCCACCTACGACGTGGATGCAGACATGGTGCGTCAGTCATCCTCGCACCCCTCAGTCGAAGAACAGAAGTGATAGACGCACATGATGTCTTGGCGCCTCCTTCTCTTCTTGCTCGTCCAAAGCCCACTGCTCCTGCATGAACTCGCTGTACCGCTCGCAGACCGGACGCCATGTAGGCCTGCTATCCGGCTGGGGTTTGATGTCCACCTCTGCAGGATTTGCGACCACAGCGTCGATGTCGGGCGGGGGAGGGAAGGAAAAATCGGGACCGGGGTTCATCTGGACCTGCGCGCCATTGAAGAGGGAGACGAACGGATAGTAGCCCAGAGTGCCATCATCGAAGGGGTTCTCCTTGTGCTCGCGAATGCCCTCCTTGTTCGCACGCTTCTTCTGCTCTGCCTTGCTCGGGGGCCTGCGCAGCGGAAGGTAGTCAAACAGGTCCTGGAAAGCGATGCCCTGGCACTCGCCGTTGATGAAGAACGCTATGTACGACTCGGGCCCGAGCGTCGGTAGGGGTCGCATGGGGGTTGTCTCCTGTGGCGCGCCCTTCCCGCGTCCGGTCGAGGGGAGGTTCTTCACGGTTGCGCTCTTCTTCGTTGAGGACGACGGCAGGGACTTCGCGTCCGTCGCCTTCGAGCGGTCGCTCGCGTCCATTAGCGCGATCATCTCCTTCGTCTGCGGGTACTCGAGCGACTCGAAGTACTCCTGGCCCTTGTACTCGATCGCGATCCGCTCCCGCTTGATGTGTGCCGGGTCATATGGGTCACGCTTGTCCGGCTTGCGCCTTGGGGGGAGGCAAATGTACATGCCGACGACGTCCCCAGTCTGGAACGCGCGGCCATATGGCCGCGGGCGCGAGAGGTGCACCTTCTCTCCGGTCTTGTCGCGCACGGCGTAGCTGTAGCCGTCATATCCCGCAGGCGCATTCAGCGGGGCTTCGCGACGCGCCCAGCCTAGGCGGACGTGACTGCCCTCTTTGCGCTTCATTCCTGTAGGTTTGTCTCCGGAACCCAACTCGATCTTTACTTCCATGTACCACCGACCCTCGCGCATAGGCGCGTTGCAGCGCGCGCTCCGGAAGCCCTTCTCTCCTTGCAAGCGAAGACCGTCTTGTGTGACTCTAATGAAGGGGCTTCGGTCTTCCCAGGAGACGCGAAAGTGCGTAGGGTGTGATTCAATAGTGCGGAAGGGAATAGCGTTCTCCGGCGAGGTGACTCCTGCGGGGGTGTAGCGGAAGTTCAGGCGATTGAAGCAAAGGGGTTCTGTAGTATAAAATTGGGACCCTGGTACCACAGGAACGAAACCTGGGTGCCGTGAGATGCTCAAGCGTGGCCGGGAGGCGAGGTCAGCATGGCGCGAGCTGAGGACGAGGTTCTCCGGCGCCGGGGTGCCTGCGCCTGGGTCGGAGGGGACTGGCGACGAGACGGCTGCGTGCGCGAGTGCGGCATGCTTGCGCTTTTTGCTGTTGTGGAGCTGGTGGTGGGTGAGAGGGATGGGTACGGGAGGAGGGGTGGCGACTGCTGACGGGGAGACCTCGCGGGCGGTGGCTGGGACCTCCATACCGAGCCTTGTCAAACCGCCTGTTGGCGAGACATTCGCCTAAGTCTAGGTGGTACTCACAAGAGGGGTCTGAGAGCAAATCAGTCCTTCTCGTGATGCAGTCAACGGTCTACCGTCAGTCCGGGATATTGGATGCGGCCCACGTCGCTGAATCACGTTCACAATCCGATAGAAAGCCAGCAGGAAAGTTATGAGAGGAAACAGCAATGTTCTTGTACCCTGGAGCTGCAGTGGGGAATGGCTAAGAACCGAGAACGAGCAGGAGTGGCAAAAGTGCTGGAACGGAGAGTAAGTCGCAAGCGCCAAGGATACTGCAGGCGCCCGCAATCAGGAATTCCAATTACGCCCCGTATACACATCTCCAACCACCGATTGCCACCCTCCGTAGTGCCATCACTTTGCCTCCGACTAGACTCTACAGTAACCCCCCCAGGAAACTACAGCATCATGACCGCGTTGAGGTGAGTTACCATGTGATGGTAGTGAATTGGCGTGACTGATTGTCCGATAGACGGATTCAGAAGGTGCCACTTGCCTCATATAATGAACCAAAGCTTGTCGCTCATACGAGGTTAGGAATTGAAAGACATCAACAACAATCCCATCGAGGTGCGTATTGCTATCTGCTACTGAGACACCCGCTACACCTAGTTGTAGGGTTTGACGGTCGAACCCCTCGAGGACAACATATTTGAGTGGCAGTGCTCCGTTAAGGCTGCAGTACGTTTATGTCGCAAAGAATCTGATCATTGGGCAGCGTTGATCACCAACATGATGATAGTCAAACAGTCCTTACAAAGGCGGGACATTCCACTTCAACTTGAACCTACCTGAGAACTTCCCGTTCAAGGCGCCCTCTGTAAGTCGCTGTGGCCTTCGCCTGGGAGACGTCGGTTAAGGATTAGACTTCTCACACTGCTCGACTTGCAACGGCATGGCTAGGTCACGTTCATCACAAAGATCTATCACCCTGGCATCAACGAAGAGGGTCAGATCTGTGTGCCAGTTCTTCGTGATCAAGTGAGTGCCCGGATCTTCCGACGTCCGCCTCTGCACATTGCGGTGCACGAAACTGATTATGTTGCTCCGTGAAGTGGAAGCCCACAGTCAGTCTTTCGTCAGGTAAGCGGCGTACGGTGTTGGGAGCGAGGGAGTCAAACAACTGACTTGCCATGGTCAGTCCTTACAACGATCGTGGATAAGGTGAACAACCCCAGTCCCGATGACCCGTTCGAGCCCGACATTGCTGCTGTGAGTACTCGCACGGCGCAGCGCTTGAGAGCAGGCCAATAATTTGAGCTGCAGCTGATGAAGAACGATGAAGCCAAGTTCCTTGCGACCGCGAAGGAGTGGACGAAGAAGTACGCTATGGCCTGACGACGATCATGTCGCTGTATTGAATGTTTCGCGTCTATCAGGCACGCTACTTAGGAACGGACACCCATCTGTGCAGGCAACCGAGCCTGTGTGTATGTATATTACCCTGTCTCTGAAGATGACTTGTATTCGTTCTTGGTGTTCCGCCCTCTATCGGTAGACCCAGCAGTGTGCTAGGTTCTTTGTTTTGTCTGTTCGGATCTAGACAGTTATCGTACTTCAGACCTAACATCAGGTTCGGCCGCTCTTGAAGGACAGTCAATGAGTTGAACAATATAACATTTCTCAGCCTGTTTGTGGAGTGCTGAACTTGATTCTCTACCTACTAAAAACCTGCCCTCTACCTAGTTCTTTGGCGATAAAGCGCTTATGGTCACTCAATCTCCCTTATAGGCCCCGATCGAGATGAACGGGTATTCAGTCGAGCAGCCTCGCCCATCACCAGCTTTTCGGCTCCTGTTTCCTGAGGGACGAGTGACCTGCATTTGTGATCATATCTAGACCTTCTGTGTGTACAGGCGTTGTGAATCAGCATCTAGTCAAGCTGTGACGTGTTTGCTGATGATTCTTCTGAATCCATTCCGATCTAAAGCCGTGCTTATAGGTTACGATCCCGGGAACTGGCGGGCTATAGTGTCTTCGATGTGAGCTTATTCTGCAGTCGCCGTCAAGTGCACTGCGCTAGACGTTTCTCGACTTACCTTAACTAGACATGTACACGTACCTGCATTCACGTAAATGTTATGGAATACCTGTTGCTCGCCAACGCCACAGGGCTGTCGTGACCAGTGCGACACGCTGTCGGCTCCCGAACAACAAGTTCAAATGGCGAACCCGGATGAAGGACAGCATGACGGAGCTACAAGAAAAAGGATATACCTGCCAGTGAACTACAAATAAACTACTACACTTACCGTATCTGGAGGAGTTAGATCAAGATCATTCGTGCCTGGCTGATCTGCTCAATATCGCTGTCCTGCGAGGGTTGTTGTTGGCAGGATATGCCTTCAGGCTGCCTGAACGAATTTAGACAGCCAAATAATTCTCCGATGTACGTCTACAGTGGCGAAGAGATGTATGTACGCCGCCCGCCGAATGGTACCTGAGTAGGTTAGGTGGTGGGAGATGGCCGAGTACTTGGTCGATGCAGGGACCCCGGGCACAACGAAGGCTGTTTTGGGCCGCAGTGTTGACGCATCAAAGTTCGAGGCCTGCGACGATACAGCGACCCTGTCTCTGCTCCTCTGCCTCCCCCCTGTCCTTGCAGTGTTGTCCTGACTTTAGTTCTGACTTGAGGCACCTCATCACCGCGCTGTATTATCTCCTTACGGCAGGCTCAAGGAAGAAGGACAGCCTGATTAGGCTTCGCATCTCCAACTCGTGGCAAACACGTTGCTCGCTCGTTCCACCACTTCGCTCCTCCATTCGCCTCCTCCTACGGAGCTTGTGGTCATCAGTCTATCCTTCCAGTTGCAGTATCTCATAATCTGATCCGCTCTTTCGCTGTTATCACCGATATTTCCTTGTCTCACGCGGCTAACATTCCCGCGTCCAATACGCGAACGTCAATTCGGGTCTTCGGGACTGTCACGCCTTTCCAACGTGTAAACCTCGAGGCCATAGAATCGAGGGACCCTCCTTGACAATTGTAACATGCATCGCTTCCGGTAAGCATAGCACCACGCTACCCTCCGCGACCACAGCTCTCACTCTGAGCTTCGAAACCCTATCCTCATCCCGCTCACCCGTGTTTGCTCGCCGTTCTCAGCAAAAGATCCGATACCAGACGTCCCCAGGGCCTAGGCGGCCCCGAGTACACAGTCACTGTGCGCACCGATACTACGCAGGACGCCCTCCCCTCCTTGCCTCCTGCCAGCGATTTCCGTACATCATTGATCTTGCCAGAGTGCGTCTCATGCTGCTTCTTTCCCGCGATCCTGTTGCACCTTGCTTACCTCGCTCCTTTCGCTCGCTTCCGCGCACCGTGGTGATGCTCCAATGGTACAGCCTCACCCGACGGTTCAGCGTGCTTCGCAATTCTTCCGGCGAGCCTATCGGGCTTGATGAGCTGAAGTACAAGTTTGCAGAGCAACGCGCGCGGGGCTCTCAGAACCAAGTTACGGAGGAGGAAGAGGATATGATATTAGAGGCGTTAGGGCGGTTTCACGGCAAGAATCGATCGAGAGGGAAGCAGAAGGAGCTCGTGGACGCAGGGGGACGAGGGAATGGGACGGACTGCGAGGACGACGATGCGGATCCCGTACGACACTCGGTACGTTCCTCCGACTCCGCGACGACTCCCTCATTACATGGCGCACCCTCTATGGCGTCGATATCGTCGGCCAAGGGCTCGATATCGAGTAGGCGGATGAGCAACAACCTGTTTGGTTCGGGCAAGTTCCGAGATCAGGCGTACTTCCTTCGTACGACGAATCCTCGACGTGGTGGACGTGGCGCGGGTGCAATTGCTCTGTCGGACTCGAATACGAGCATGAGCACGGTTGATGAGAGTGCGAGAGGAGAGAACAGCACCTCGATGTACTCCGACAACCAGAGCCTACGCCCCACCACCCCAGAAGGGAGCACCTACACGTTCTCCGGATCAGCACCTTCCAGTCCAGGGAACGCTAGCACGTTGTCGAAGGACCGCAATTCGCGCTCTATTCTTGGTGACCAGTCCGACTACTCCAGCACGCTCAGCAAGCGGCTGTCAAAGGCGTTGTCGCCGGATGGGCTGAAGAGGGCATCCTTGGCGCTGGATCAGGCTATCAGGGAGTTGGAGGAAGAGGGAGATGATGAGATTGTCATGGAGCGGTCGCCCATTACCCACGTTCCGCCGAGCACCCTCAACAGCTCATTGTCTGCGTTGAATACTGCGGTGAGTACACGTCCTCGACGTGTCCCCATGTTCCCCTTGCTAAACTGTAATCCTGTATCGAAGGTGGAGTTGGACTCTTCACCTACCGTGTCCCCGGCTGAGTTTGAGACCGGTACCGCTCTCTCCTCTGACGATCCGGTGGCAGTGGATGATGGCAAGCGAAGCTCACCCCACCCCGCCTCCCGTACGACGTCTCCCACTCCTCGTCTACCTGGTTACATCCCAGGGATGCCCAGACCCATGACTCCCCGGGAGGCCACCTTCGATGCGGAAGATCTCACGCCCTCAACGACACCCCGTGCGACATCACCTCGTCTACCCGGGCTGAATACCCAAACTTCTCCTTTGATACCTCAGAACTTCTCGTCCAGCATGTATCGAAGCAACTCCAGTGCGTCCTCCTATGCCACAAATCGTCCCAATTCCCCCGCAAGCGGCACAACCCCTCCTCTCTTCTTCAACCGTCCCATGAATGGTCGCTACACGCCCGAGGAGCGTCAAAGAAACGGGAACAAACCGTCTTCGCCGACCTCGGATACCGCGGAGTCGCCCGTTCATGGTAGGCGACGCCCCATCTCTCCCCTGTCTGGTCCAGCGTACCAGCCCATGACCTCGCCACCATCCCGCCCTTCGACACCGTCGAACGTGACCTGGAATACTCCCGTGAGCCCGAACGGCACCCCGCAGAAGCACGGTCGGAATGGCAGTGCCGCCGGCCATAGCCGCAATGGCAGTACAGCGAGCTTCAACGACCAGACCCTCGAACAGCTCGACAGGTCCAAGTCCGTGACGCGCTCCCTACGTTCCCCCGCGCTCCCTGATTCCCCTTGGTTCGACGGCGCGAACGCCACCTTCGGCTCGTCAGACTATCGCCCGCCCTCCGCGATGTCTGGAGTGGACCTTGGCTCGCCTGTGCAGCCCGCGAGCATGACGCTTCGCTCACCCACGTTCACCGACGTCGGCGGGGCTGATGACCTGCGCAGCATCAGCAGGCGCTCGTCGAAGCAGACGGGGCATACCAGCGCGAACACGTTCTCGTTCGGGCAGCCCAACGCCCTCCTGTTCTCCCCACTCGCGAACTCGTCGCGGTCTTCGTTGGAGTCTGTTGGGTCGAGCTATCATACGTGGGATGAGGACCACAAGAAGGATCGTCTCTACGGGCTGTTCAGCAGCCTCGACTCGGACAACACGCCGTGGCATGACGTCTCGCTAGACAAGTCGGACCCGTCGACCGCGGGGACGTCGCCGTACGAGTCGCCGGAGACCGAGGACGCCGTGCGAAGGGAGATCGGGCTGTCGAAGGGCGACTTCGTCGCAATCCAGGACAAGCTCGTCGGCGCTGCGCTGACGAAGGCTGCTACGCCGGAGAATCGTCGGCCGGGCTCAATCAGGAAGAGGAGGCCTTCTACGTCGCAATCGAACTATTCGTTCAATGGCGAGAGTCGGGTACGTTACTTCGATAGTCGTGTGCTCACGGTATGGCTGACGTACGTGAATTAGGCTGTGAGTTCCACCCCTCAGCCGCAACCACAGTCTCAACCTCTGGCGCAGCCGGCCGCAACCTCGCCGCGTGCGGTGATAAGTGAGCAGATGGCAAGGGCGAATGCTCTGTTGAACGCCGTGGTGGATAGTATCGAATCTCCTCGGGCTCGTCCTTCGGCGGCGTTGCCGGTTGAGGAGCCCACTTTGGTCGTGCCAACCGCCACCGACATCGAGCAGTCCAGCCCAATGCGACGCAACAGGGCCCTTGCGGAAGCCCTCTTCGGAGCAGAGGAGTTGGACAATAGTATGTCCTCTGCGCCTCAGATCTCCATCATGCCCGAGATGATGTCGTCCACCGACGAAGAATCGCCTACCCACCATGCGCCATCGCTCACCAAGCCGCTATCTCCCAAGCGTTCAGATTCCCTGCATCGTCTTGCCTCGCCGGCTGCTCCCTCCACCCCTCCTGTTCGCACGATGCCGACTAGCCCTACGATGCCACTGAGCCCTGCTTCTATGCCGCTCCCAATGAGCCCTACAATCCCGACCAGCCTTTCCGCGACGTCCGTGAACCCTAGTGCAATGCCCACTAGTCCCACCGGCTTCATGTCTCCGCTCTCTCCATCATCCAACATGGACCCCCTCACGCTTGCGCTCGAGGTACAGCGGAGGGCTGAGGCGGCTACTGCGGCGCTGCGCAAATCTCCTTCAATACCGAAGTTTCATGAGGCCAATGGTGGGACGCTTCCGCGGAAACGCATCAGCCCCAACAAGATCTCGGCTCCCACACTCGTTTCGGCGTCTACCAGTGTTGATGCTATTCCGCTCCGGTCACCTACTGCAACACCTACACCCTCGCCCAGTCAGCAGCAGCAGCAGGCGGGCAAGATCGGTTCCCGATTCAAGAAGTTACGAGGCACCATTCGAACGAAGCACTCACTCCCGAATGGGGAGGAAATCACGCCTTACCCTCTTGAGCTGAAGAGCCCTGGATCGAGTGCTCTAGGTAGCAGCAGTTCAGGAAGCCTTGCGCTCCGCGCAGACCCCATCCCTATCAGCTCGGCAAGCACCGCAGAACCCTCTCGACTGCGCCCCCCAGCACCTCTCCCCAGTCCTCCTGCTTCTGCAGCTCCCGGTCTCAAGGGCTTTATGGCTCGCTTTCGCAAGCAGCGCGCCGCTCCCGAAGCTCTGTCGGCACCACAATCTCACCCTTCGTCTCACCACCAAGGGCCTACACCCACTTCGGCCACCTCTGCGAGGTCAACGACATCGTCCGGCTCTTCCACGGAACCGTCTTACGGTCAGATGCCCCACTCCGCCCCTGCACTTCAGACGGTCTTCAGGAGTCGAAGTCCGATGGGCCCTCCGGCGCCTCCACAATCCCCCCCTCCCAAGCCTCCCCAGGATTACCTTGGTCTCCATTCACGGGCAGCGTCAACACCGAACTCGGATGAGGATGCGATCAAGCAGTTGTTCCATGCTGCTGAGAACCTGGGACTCGACCAAGCTGCCCTCAACGACCTTTTGGCCCGTTCGCCTTCCACGTCTTCGAAATCCACCGCTTGGACGAAGCTGACGAGGGCAACCTCGCCGAGCGAAAGTCGGAAGAACCAAGTTCCTGTGATACGAGGGAGAGCTACGCCTGATAGCGTCCGCTCCCCAGTGTCAGAGGGTCGCCCGAGCGTTGATGGACTCTCTCCAAGACCCTCGATGGATGTGAAGCCGTCCGGTCGTAAGAGCGAGAATGGCTTGCAAGCGCCCAGCCCACGACAGCAGCAGTCGGACGCCGCGCCGAACGCGATTGTGCGTAGGACCATTATCTTCCCTTCGGACTCGAGGATGTCTGCCCTTGACTTCCAAGCTATGATGAGGAAACAGTCTGTCTCTCGTCGTCGCGCGTCCGTGTCGTCGAAGGCCTCAATTCATGATCGGGTGCCCACTCCTCCGCCTCCGCACCGTGCGGCAGGCCGTCGGTTCTCCACAGACGTCTCTCCTCCCGTGCCCCAGCTCCCACCTGCCCTGTCGGCTCAGAACGACAATTTCCTTGCCGTTCCTAGCCCTGTGGAAAAGACCGGCTCTGCATATGACTCTCTGTGAGTTTTCACAATTCACTGCCTGTCTTCTTGTTCTCACCATCGGATACTTGTCCATAGATACGAAATGTACTCAAGCGATGGTAGAGGGTTGCTCAATGCAGAGTCTTCCGGAGACGGCAATCCCCATGCTCAGGACGGCATTCCTGAGTCGGCGCCAGCGCTTGAGGTAATCGAGTTGGCCAATGGTGAGACGATCTGGTACGTCATTTGCTCCCATGTAATTCATATTGAAACCGCGCCCTAACACCTTTCAAGGTCCATCGTCAATGGGCTGCGCGACGACGATGGCGAGTCCTTCTATGGCGACCGCGCCAGCTTCTACTCCGAATACTCTGTGAAGGACAACGACAATGTCAAGTTGTTGTTCAAGGAGCACGAGAGAAAGAACTCCAAGGGGAGCGTGAATTCTTTCCTGTCTCGGAAGAAGTCCGTGCAACAGCAACAGGCAAAAGGTACCACGCGACCGGAGACGAAGGTTCGTATATTACCCGCGCTGGATCGTGCACTAGCGTGACTAATCCTGTTGACAGGTCTTCTTCAGTTCTAGTGCGCAAATAGGTCGTCTCATAGAGAACCTTTCACATGGACTGGACGCCGGTTCATTTAATATCATGCCAGGCCAAGCTCAGGCGCAATCTCGGCACCCTCAGCCCGGGCACTCTACTTCATCCTCCCTTGGGTCGGAGGCTGATATGCGATGGACAGTAGAAGAGAGGCTAGAGCACATGCTCGGGTCCATGGGAGCCAGCTGAATGCTCACTTCCGCTCGCCTTGCTTTCTGGACTATCTGATGCTGTGATTTATCTTTTCTATCGGGTAGTTATAATATTTCCAGCTCCTGTTTGGCATGAGTCACTCCCGTTATGCGATCGCGACTATGCTCTTGGGATTCGCACTCCATACTACTATGTTGATACATATCTGGTCTGTCCGCTATTTGTCGATCTGTTACTCCTGTCTGCTTCGTGCTCACATACCCCGCCAGTCAATCCATCTGTTCAAGCACAGTGCTAGAAGCGCGTCACGGAGGAGTGTATCTTCTTGAAACGTGTATCGCAGGTATGCGTACGCACGCCCCAATTTGGGAACATCCTTTGGCGTTGGGTCGTATGTCGCAATTCTCGCAGTAGTCTCCGGCGTGATGGAGAAGAGCTGGACGATGAAATAGGCAAACTCGATAAATTACGCATGTTCGGGGAACACATACCTCATACGCATAGGGCTGCCTGTTGCCCAGCCTGCGCCATTCGAATATCTCTCGTCCGTTCATGACTGTCTGAAACTGCCTAGCGCTAGGAGACGCACAGAGCGTGAGTTCCATATGTACAAGCAAGCCCGGGAGCAACTAACGTGTCAATAGAGCCTCGAGAAACGAAGTCGGCCATCGGGGTTCTGTCTCCGCCTCGAATTATCGAACCAAGGTGGTTACACACGGCCCAATCAAAGTATGCGACGACCGTTTGCTCGTTGAACGTTACCTGCGGACACAACGTCACACACATAGCGTGTGCGTACGATGCCGAGTCTCAGGGACGGGGACTGTGCCAAGAGGGTAGAAAAGTGGACACACCGTGGTTCTCGTGCCTTGCGGTAAGTCGACCGTCTCAAACTTGTAGACGATGGGGACGGTGTTATGATAGCCAATGGCGACGCACTTGTGGCGGGGGTCTCCGGGACCAGTGAAGAAGAGCTCGTTGACGATGCCGTCCATGCTCATGGCGTTGGGCTTTGCTGTCTGTCCGAGGATGTGCTGTGGTATGTGAAGCTTAACCAGAAGGCGCTGAGTACTCAGCGATGGCGACCCTCTTTATAGGCCAGGATGTGGGGAGCGAAACCCACCTTGCGTCATCGTAAAGGCCGTGGCAATCCGCCAATTTCACTCAACCTCGCTGATTTGTGCCATTGACACGGGTTTCTATCCACACGAAGCAGGCGGTGTCCATGTGGGTCTGGCGAAGCAAGTGTATGAACCCCGCAGTTTGGGGTGCTGGAGTCCTGAGCTGTTATGCACACAAGAAGGTGCATGACCGGAATATCAGCAATTAACGGCCAGCAGTACGCGGAGATTCTCGGCGGGGGGATAGTGGGTCTGAGGTAAGATCTCAGTCCTGAGGCGCTGCGACGAGGCTGATCATATAGGGCAGTCTGCATCCCACGCAAGCAGGAGACATCGCCAGCGACTGTTCTGTCATTCGTTATCGTGTCAGCTGTGCTTTCCATCTAACTGTAAGCACCCCCGTGTTGTTGGCAATTTTCTCAGACTATCTATCTGATGGTTCTGCTGACAGCACCATCCAGATGGAACTTCTTGAGTGACTGCTCGCCGTGCGCTGGTAGGGAGACCATATGCTCTTGCATCCGGCGTCGGCTTGCATCCCAGCAGCCGTTGTCGGCCAGACGTGAGCTTGAGCCTGAACTAAATGCCTGTGATGCGGCAAGTTGGCCTTGTGAGGTGAGCGTGGTGGATGTGGCTCGCATGAACGCAATATCGTGGGTCAGTTGCCGTGCTCGCGGAAGACTGCTACCTGAAGAAACTGCTCATGCGCTGCTATCATAGACTATCCCCTTTGCCGGCACCAATGGACGCGACGGCCGCCCCATTCCCGGCCCTGGCAGATTCTCCCGAGGGTCCTTGGAGCCATACGTTTGAGGGATGAGTCCCCCCACGTTTCTTGTTAGCGAAGCGAACAACGCTAGAATATGGAGGCGGCGGCCTGGTCGCCGGGTTTAAAGTGCACGCCCATCGCGCATACTTACAGTGCCATTGCTGGACGTCTGATACCGGCCAAATCCGAGTCGGGGTGGAGGGCAGCATGAACGTGTACAATGCACTCCCGGTGATCAGCGCTGCTTGTGCTGACGTGTCGCAGATCATCGGGGATGTGTCTTCAGCAGCTCTTATCCTCACCTTCTGTGTCGACAACGAGTTAGCCGTCTCCGCGAAGGTTACTGCTCCCGCGAGTATCGTGAAGGCAATCTCTTGTGCCATGTCCGTAGCAACTCGATGCCTCTGGCGATGGGCTCTTCCACCGCGCATATGGAGATGTTACTTGTGGAATAATACTCAATTGCACAGGTTCATTAGGTGCCTTGAAAGGAGAACGACCGTGTGTGAACCATCCGTATCAACGCGTACCTACCTACCGCTCAGTCATTTCTATGACACCATCGGTGGGTGCCTTAGCCTACACGGCCTTTTGGGGGCATCGCAGCAGCAAGTCACGAAGGTTCAGGCTTCACATTTTAGCTGCCTCAAATAGCGCTATACTGGCACAGATAGCCAGGAACAGGGATGACGGTTACTCACGTTACCCGCGCTGGCGCTCGGAGGCTTCACTTTCACTTTGCCTGCATACTGACCTATGTCCCTTCATTGATCGACCTCCCGGGGTGGGATAGGCGGTACGCCTTCTTCTGCAGAAAACAATAGGGGATATCATACGGCTTTGGACCTGAAGGCGACGTACGTGATCCGAGCCGAGGAACTCGATCGAAAGACATGAGGTTGTCGCGGGGTGATTGATGGGATCCTATGGAGTCTCTTCTTACACGACGGGCACAGGGCTATAATTCAAGCAGGGGGTTTCATTCGGAGTTGTTGAGCTACGCAACGTGACTATAGCAATTCCCGCTGCTCTTCGCGTATTTCTTTCAAAGTTGTCACTTTCTGGAAATTGCTACCGGCACGTTGCGTGGGGCAGAAGTATCGCCGACATTTCCTCACTTCCGTGTTATCCCCTCACTGAACATGAGCTCCCAGTATTATACTCTGACCCTGACTACTGTCAACGCCAAAATCGCGTAGTGTGGTGTTCGGGCCCGATAAGCCATTCGAGGGGGAATCCTGAGTTTGATGCGGATATAAGTACATAATCTAGTCTCCCATTCCTTCGCGGTACTCGTGGCATCTTGCAGTTTCATGTACAACGGCATAGAACTGAATTTATCGCACTGTCAGATCGATCAGTCGGAGTCGACCCGCGCCAGCGCTACAAGTCCGAGAGGCGTTTTAGAGTTTGGTCCGTGTAGTGAAATTTGATCGTCGACAAGCGCTCCGCCAGGCAGGACGCATGGAATGCATCAACAACGTCCGACAGTCACGAAGTGCCCACGATTGGCCGCTGGAATCAAAAGCGATAGCATCCGCCGTGCAAGCTAGCCAAGTCTTCTCCAGGATCGTCAACGTTGAGGGCCTCTTTCGAACTCGAGTAGAAAGAAAAGGCGTGAGATCGTTTAGAAACGCGTTTGAGAGTAACGAGACTATGTGTAGTGTTACCCCTCTTTGGAGAACTCCCTCGGTGAGCACCTGCACAATGCAGAAGGCTGCAAGAAGTCTTGCTAGTAGGGCGATGCTTCGGAACTCGACTTGTTGCCACCCCCTGAGGATCTTCTGGCGTCCATGCGTCACAGAAACGTGGCAGCGACAAGGATGACGTTCATTAGGTACGGTTTCGCTCCTCCTGTATGATTGTGTGCCTAGTGGTGCCCTGTGTCGCCCTCGATTCGTGTTAACCACTTCTCTCCTTCTCGCTTCTCTTCTTCTTCCGTCACGTCGGGCGGCATGGAGGCGGTGAGCCTTGCTGCTGTTCCATGAATCTGCATGGGTGCTCATCTTACATTTCTAGTGCGCTGGGGCGGAATTTGGCAGAAATGGATGGTCGATGCTGTGCCACTAGTCGAGTAATGACAACCCCCGGACTGCGAACAATGGCAGTGCACAATGTACGACATCACGTGATGACCCTTCACACAAGCGCCCAAAGTACTCTATAGTTCATGCATTCATAAACCACGTCTTTTATGACTACCATGAGCTGGCAGAATGTTAACTTTACGTCCTGGTGCGCTACGCAGCGGGTCAAGACTTTTTAGCCGCTCAAAGTTCTTTGCCTTCAGTTAGGGTTTAGATTTGGGTTTGGACTCTAACAACACCTTTTCCCCTGCAAGGGAGGCTGTATGCATTAATCGCGCGAACGAGGCTTTAGGCTTGGGGAACCCCCCCCCGAGCGCAGCGAGAGTCCTCACTTCAAGCGCCTGACTACCGATTTGGGAACTTCGTTCACACAACGGGGTTCGACTCGCTGGGCGGCGCCATAGTACCGCTGTAAAGCCGCCAGTGGCGCGCCGGGACGAAAATCTACCGTTCCTGCAGCTGGTGTGCCATCTGAGTAATGTGTGCACCGGGGCAACCTCCCCAATAAGTCATTGAGGCCCATCAACGTCGAACTGCGTAAACGTGACGGGCGCTCAGATCGCCCCTTGTGACATATTCCCCCGCCAAAACGCGGGGAAAGATCACGGGGTGACCACATTCTGTCACACCAAACACTGCCCCACGAACGGACAGCCTACGGGCACACTGTCATCTTAACCTCTGAGCCAACAATGGCAGATCCGCCGCAGTCGCAATGACTCATTGAACGCTGGCCAGCGACTCGGACTCTGCTTTGTCCCGATTGACCTCGCCGCAGTCCCTACTCGCTTCTCTGTACAATGTCCTATGTATCGAGTGCCAGGCTGGGCCTTGGAAAAGCTGGCCGGTCATTGTGTTCGGTCCGATCCGCCAGCTCTAACATCGGGGTGAGGCCGCATTTCATGTCGCGTGAGACCGAACACGACTCTTTTTGAAATAACTGGCCGCAGAAAGATTAGCTTCGCCATCAACATTGAGACAGTGCCAAGACGCGGAGACGCACTGGTCGCCCTCGTGCCCTTTGCTAGGAGGGCTGGCGCTGTCCTCCTTGTCTTCGTTTTCGATGCTTCGCCGAGCCATGGCCATCCTCCCCAGTAGCACCAAGGATGCGAACGGGCACTCGACCAAGATCGACAGTGCCGGACAGTGCCTCCGTTTCATCGCGCGACGCTGGCTGGTGTTCGGCATAACTGGATTCGCTCTGTTCACACTTCTTCTTCGCATGCTCTATTTTCGTGAGCGAGTCGTGGCAATACCCTCTGCCGTAGAGGGATCCGAGTACTCAAGATGGGCCGGGCTGCGTCTCCCACCCCTCTACAGCCAGTACCACCAGAATGAGCTCCGCCTTCCCCAGCACCACTGGCACGCAACGTCTCATGAGGGCGAGCCCAAGTTCTTCTTCGTTCCCGGACACAGCCGAGGTATGGGAGAACGATCTGCAATGACTTCTATCCACGACTCGCTCCGACGTCAGCCGCCTCATTCTCGTTCGTTCTACAGGCTCCGGATGGGGCAACATCATGCAGGAGATCTTGCTTAATGCATTTCTTGCCCACAAGTCGAATCGAGCGTACGTGTGTTTTTCCCCCCGGGTAATCCACTGTTTTTCCATTCCTTGCTGTGCTGAGACTCGCCGCATCTCAGATTCGTCTTCTACAATTACACTTGGAATGACAATCCTAGCGAAGACTATGCGGACTTCGCAGGGAAGCCCATCCCCTCCCGCATTCCCCTGTCCGCGCTCGTTGCCGGTGGGTTCTCACATACCTGACTGATGCCACGTGCCAGACGCCCATAATTCTGCAGGACCTCTCGTCGGCGGAGCATTCCCTCCTGGCCAGCACGCACCTCTGGCGATAGCGGAGGAATACTACCGTACTGTTTGTGACGGTCGCAAGGTGGTGCTCGATCGCGATGAAATGGACAAGAAGGCCAGGAGTTGGATGGTCGAGCCCATCACCACGGCCTGGCTAGAGAAGCTAAACACAGTCGACGACCAGTGCGTGGAGGTGGCGCAAGGCCAAGGCCCGATCTACAACTGGATGTGAGTGCTCTCGCTTCTGTCCGGTGGCCCCTGAACGGGAGGAGGTGACCTGGCTCGGCACGCAGCACCTTCGGCGACCGCCACGCGATGCACGATGCCTGGGCAGACTTCGCCGCGTCCCCGATCGTGACGCACTTTCGGTGGTCCGCGCTCGTCGAGCTCGCGTTCGACAACAACCGCGAGGTGATCGCCCCCACGGCCGTCTTCGAGCCGCCGCTCTCGACGGTGCCCTACACGTCCAACGCGGAGCGCTACACCGCGCTCGCCGGCCTCCTCGTCCTCCACCTCCGCCGCGGCGACTACGAGGGCCACTGCGAGCACCTCGCGAAGTGGTCCTCGTCCTACCTCGCGTTCAACGGCCTCCCGGCGCTGGAGCAGTTCGACCCGCCCGAGGGCGGCAGCTGGGGCGAGAACACGCCCGAGAACGTCGCCGTCTACCGCGCGCACTGCCTGCCGGACATCGCGCAGATCGTCGCCCGCGTGCGCGCGGTGCAGCGCGCGGACGCCGCGCGGGGGCTGCAGCACGTGTACGTCATGACGAACGGCGCGGTGGAGTGGGTCGAGGAGCTCAAGCGCGCGCTGCGGGCGACGGGCCAGTTCACGCACGTCGCGAGCAGCCGCGACCTCGTGCTCAACTGGGAGCAGAAGTACGTCGCGCAGGCGGTGGACATGCTCGTCGGCCAGCGGGCGCAGGTCTTCATCGGGAATGGGGTGCGTGTCGCCGCCTTGATTTAGCGCTTGTGGCGCTTGTGCTGATGATTTTCTGTACAGTGGTCGAGTTTGACTGGCGGCATCGTCGTCATGCGACAGGCCAATGGGTTCCACCCCGATACTACACGATTCTTCTAGGGTTCGCGTCATGTTAGACAGGTGATATCTCGGGATACCGCAGGCGCGCTGAAGGGCCTTCGCGCTCACGAAAAGGCACGACCGTAAGCCATGGACGCTGGATATTTATATATGCACTTAATTGTAATGAACGCTCTCACGAGACTCACGGATGCCAGTTAGGCCCCCGCGCGGCGTGGCGGTTTGCTCCGCGCGCACCGGGTGTTTTGGAGATGTATATAGGCACGATATAGTTGCTGATACAGGCAGGACACGGATGTAATGCAATCAGGTCACGAATTGAGACAGACAGGAGCGATGAATACAACACCGGACAGTCACCGGGTGGGCTGGTTGTATGTTGTATACAGGGTACAGCGTGGATGCATGCATGGTGGGTAACGCGAGATTGCCAAATGTCAATGTGTATGTTAATGGGCTTGGTTTGGGTGTAAGGGCCGTTAGTATAGCAGGGGTTTCGGAGGTTAGTAAGGAGAGGAAGCAGGGCGCGCCGCGTGGGAGGAGATAAGTGAGGGTAACCGTAAGATGGGTAGATATGCATATAGATCTTCTTCAGTCCAGTTCTTGTCCCATTTTTCGGACAGGTCACACTAGATAGAGCCTGTTCAACACCAATGCACCAACAACAGCAGCGCAGGCGGCCTACCAGTGTCAAGTGGACGTGCTCGATTTCGGCGCGGCGGGGGCGACGGGCGCCGTCGGGTCCTTCCAGTCTTCGACCGCGACGCCCATGTAGCTCGGGAGGCGCTTCCACACGTCCTTGCGCACGTCCAGGTCGCGCGCGTGCAGCATCGCGCGGCACGGCTCGCACAGCGGCCAGAGCTCGACGACGTCCTCGATCCAGTGCTCCCACGAGTCGAGCGCGGCGAAGCCCGCGATGTCCCCGATCGGGTCCTTCTGCAGCCCGTCGAGCATCATGCCGAGGATCTCGCGCAGCGCGCGCTCGCAGCCCTTGCTCGCGCACTGCGCGCTCGGGGTCGGGCGGCAGATCGTGCACGCGCCGCGCGTGCTCGCGCGCACGAGCTCCGTGCGCGCGCGCAGGACGAGCTCGAGGTCGCGCGGCTCGAGGCGCTCGACGCTGCCGTCCGCGCGCTCGACGCCGAGGTTGAGCTCCTGGTCGAGCTGGCAGCAGAGGTAGAGCGCGGTGGGCAGGACGGAGTCGGCGTGCGTGAGGCGCGCGAGGTTCACGGCGGCGATGGCGTCGGGGGGCGTGATGTGCACGAAGAGGTTGCCGTCGGCGCCGGCCGAGTCCCAGGTGGAGAGGTCGTTGGTGAAGTAGAGTTTGAGGTGGTGCATGGACCGGGAGTGGACGTCTTCGACGTGGTATTTGTAGGACATGCGGATGAGCGCGGCGAGCTCGGCGAACTCCATGCGCTCTCCAGGGATGATAGGGAATCTGGCCATGGGATGGGTGTAGTTGAGCTCATGTTCGGAAATAGGAGGGACAAGGAGTGTCGTGGAACCAGCATGCCAGATAGAGTTCAAGGCAGAGGAGGGAAAGGGGGGACGTGAGGAAACGGAACGTACTTGCGAAGTCCACAGAGCGCACGAAGAAGATGGCGAAGATCGTCTGGTGAGTCCGATATGTGCACGACCGGGCAGCTTTCCATTGTTTCCGAATTTGAAGGCTGGGCCATCGCGAAGAGATCTCGAAAGATGACGGACTGCCTTGCGAGAAGGCCGCGATACATTCTGAATGCAGTATCCCGACACAGGAGAATAATGTTACCATCTTCCCACCAGAGCTCAGGATCGCGGTTGACGGTCCCGCCTAGGCTTGCGACGGTGGTGAGTTCATTCGGATGGGCGGAGGTGGGGTCTGTGATATTGACGCGCCATCGTTTCACGACGCCATTGGCGGTCAGCAAGTCTCTGCGAGCACGGGTGGCACGGAAAAAGGACATGAGTGGCTGCTGTCGTTGGCAGATCCTTTGTGTGGGAACTAAGGAAGAAGACGTACGGGGTCTTGGCTCTGCTTGCGAAGTGTTGCTGCTCGTCGACCGGGGAAGCAGCTTGATGCGAGTCGGCCTCTTCGAGGAGGGGCTGGGGCCAGTCTGCGGGGATGTTTGGAGAGGGTGTGCGGGATGGCAGCGGGGTGATGCGCTGTAGGACGGCCTTGCGGAGGCTCATTCGGCGTTGGTAGTCGAGAACAGACGGCTTGTCGAGGGAAATGAAGTCCGGTTCGCAGCTTGTGGGCCGTGGAATGTCAGAGTGCATGCCCCTGCCGCTCACAGCCTCAGCCTCGTCCACTCGAACCGCGTCTTCAGTCCATCCACCCCACGTGACCGAGTTTTGCCCATATCAGGACACGCGTCGTCCTTAGCCGACGTGAACAATGCCAGACGAGGCGCCATCGAGACGTACTTTGGCGGATTCGTACGTACTCGGCCAAACTGCAAGTAATACACCAGGCTTTTGTGAACGTCCCCTTCCCAGCAGTGTTTTGGTACAAATACTTGCAATTGTCTAGCGAAGGTTTAACCCTGTTTTCCTTCCCAATTTTACCTCGCAATATTGTCAGACAGCGGGGATCATTCTGGCCTGTCACAAACATACTCACACATCGTTTTGTCGCCGGCGCGAGAGCTGCGACAGGCATCCTGGGAGGCAACGATAAGGGAATGTTCGTGCGTACCTGTGAAAGCCCGCCCCTCGGACCCGAACCGAAAGGGTCTCAGACATATGACAGGAGCAACCACCCAATCGAGCAAGCTCAGGCTCGACACCGTCAGTCCGCATAAAGCTGTCTAACACGCTCTAACGCGCCAGTAATATATAGCTTGTACGATAACGGTAAATAGAACGGTGGGCGACGCGCCCCAATTACTCCTGCACGATGTCCTCCTTCCTCGGCTTCGAGTTCTTGATCTCCCTGCCCTGTCCAATAAGGCTCTGCGCCTCGTCGTCCAACAAGGTGCCTGCGCATCCACGTGTGTCAGTTAGCCGTTCAATGTGGTTTGCACGCCCCCCCCTCCCCGCGCGCCAACGGCCCGAGCGAAGCGATGCCGCACTCACCGAGACCCTCCTCGCGCACGAGCCCGAGGACGTGCTCGAGCTCAACGAACCCGTCCTTGTCCGCGTCCAGCTTCTCGATCACCTTGTGCCCAACCTCCTCGTCCGGCTTGTGCTTGATCACCGCGAGCGCCTTCTCCAGGTCCTCCACCGAGATCTTGTCGTCCGGCGTCCGCGAGATCATCTGCAGCGACGAGCCCACGCGCGAGTCGTACGCGTCCAGCTGCTTGTCGATCTTCTCGAGCATCGTCCGGATACGCTTCGTCAGCGCGCCGGAGGGCGACTTCGGGTCCTCCTCCGCCTGCAGGTTCTCTTCCATCAGCGCCCGCAGCTCGTCGCGCTCCTTGAGCACCGACGACTTGGCAGACAGGATAGAGAGCGCCTCCGCGAGCTCCTTGAGCTGCTCGGACGTCATGCGTGCATCGGCGACCTCGGCCGCCTCTGTCTTCTCCGGCTGCAGCTCGGACTCGGGCAAGAGCGACTCGGCCAAGCGAGCCTCCTCTTCCTTCTTCGCACGGCGGGCGTCCTCCTCGCGCTGCTCCTGCTCCTGCTCGTCCTGAATAAGTTCTTCTTGCTGCTTGATGACCTCCAGCTTCTGCTTGTAGCTCGCTTGGTCGTCGACCTCGAGCTCGGCCTCGTTCAGCTGCAATCTCCGTGTGAGCACCGTCTCCCCTGAGCACAAGCGAGGCCCTTACCAGGTTGTCAGGCAGACCGCAGAGCACGGCCTCGAGACTGCGGATGATAGCCGTCTTGCCGTCCTCGTCCTCTCCCGGCTTCTTGTCGAACTGGAACGCACGGGCGAGGACGAGCAGGACGCCAGAGACGCGGTTGTTCAAGTGCAGATCGATCCACGTCGCGAGCTCCTCGCGCAGGCGCGCGGGAGACACGCCGAACGTCCGGATGCCGCGGCTTTGGCACGCTGCCTGGAGCTCCGAGGTGCTCAACGAGTCGATGCCCTCGCGCGCGATGACTTCGTCGTCCCTCCGGAGCGACAGCAGCCGCGCGCGGATGTTGCCGCGGAGGAAGTTGTCCGTGCCGAACGCGTTGATGCCCATGTAGCGGCACGTCGAGACGAGCTGCGGGCGGGAGAGGTTGTCGAGCGTGAGGTCGTCGTCGAAGAGGCGCGCGACGTTGACCACGTCCTGGGCCGAGGGCGACTCGCCGGTGGACCGGACCTTGTGGAAGAACTCCTTGAAGGCCTCGCTGCCGACGATGTGAGCGTTCGCCTTCAAGCCGGACTCACGAAGCGTCTCTTGGAGGAACTTGGCCATCTCGAGACGGACGCGGAGGAGCTTGCGCTGCTTCTCTTCCTGTGAGTGCGGGTTAGCCTTCGGGTGGCATTACGTAGCAACACGATAGCGAGATGGAGCGGCAGCCCTCGCAGCACGCCACACCGTCGGCTTCTCGGCCGCTTCATCTCCTTGGACCGCTACGTATTGTGGATTCCCGCTCTTCACGACCTACAGAGCATAGATGATATCTGCGCTGGGTTGGGTACGTGGTCACCTAGGATTGATGGCATTTCTGCGGAAGTCGTTCGGCTGCAGCAACTCAACGCTCGTACACGCACAAGTGCGCCAGTCAATGCCCTGCGCAGCAGTACAGGGCCGTTCTCAGGAAGTTCATAGTCAGATATGATGCGTGAACCATGCATTGCGTTGATCCCGCGTATGACGAGGGGTCACGTCCACTCCTGGTGGGACAAATGAACGGGGTGATATGTATGCAAGATCCGAATCTCGTCGGCCGCACGAATGCCGTGTTATTATCAGTACTCTACCCGTTCTGGAGGTGGAGTGCAAGAGTGCAGGAACAGCGCGTTCGAATAGGAGGACATAGGAGCAAAGGGACCATTGTATGAATGGACTCACAGCGGCGAACTTGTCCTCAAACGTCGAAGGCAGCGCGTTAGGGAACACCTTGAGCACTACCGGTATGAGCAGCTCCATGAACGGCACGATCACAAAGACGGCGAACGGGATGAGACGCAGCAGATCCTGCGTCGTCCGCTTCAACTGCAACATGCGTCAGTATGCGCGTCAGCACCACCACATACTGTCGGCAGCCAAGCATATGCGAGTGTAACGCGTACCTGCCTGCGTTCGCGCCGCGTCAAGCTTTCGCCGTGAAGGAGCTTCCACTGTAGCCGCGACGAGATGCGAACCTCCGCAGCGAGGAGCTTGGTTCCAGACCAGTAATGTTGAACCTCGTGCTTGACCTTCTTCCATACGCGCTTCGCGAGTGGTGCATCGTCTTTTGGCGCAGGCGGGAGTGGCTTCGATTCACTGGCCGTGGAGGGAGAAGCTTCCTGCTGCGACGAACTGGAGTGGAGGCCCCTCCTCGATTCGTCCAAGAGCTTTTGAGAGAACAGAGGTGCATGTTGAGAGTAAAGGGGGTGCAGAGGAAGACGCGACTGCTGTGAGGCGGCAGCGTAGGTGCGCACGCTGACCAACAGGTGCGGATGGCGACTACAGGTGCGCAAGAGGACCGACGGCGGCGCACGAGGAAGCCATACTGACATGTAGAAATAACCGGAATCCGGGTGAGGAGGCGATTGTCGGTGCTGCTGCTGTCGTCGGTGTCGTCCTCAGCAAAGCAAGTATACCGGGGGTGTTATGGTCAGACGAGAGTTCGAGGACGATGACCCACGGCCCACGGCAGCCCGGCGCCAAAACACGGAGAGCGCCGTTTGCCCTCGCCGCCGTCGCTTCGACCCTCGGGCTCGGGCTGAGGCCTCAGGCCCTTCATACTCAGACGACCATGACCGTGACTGCCCAGGCTACGTCTTCATCTGGCGATATACACGATCCAACCAGTGCAGCATACAAGAAGGCGCGCCGCAAGTACCTGAAATCGACGCGCAATAGACCTGGGCACGTTGATGCCGAATGGACACCATTCCGCGCGGCCGAGAAAAAATACAAGGCGCGCTTCCCCCCTCCTGATCTTTCCGACGTACTGGATATCGCGTCGACGGACCATACGCGCGCAGCAGAGACATCAAAGGGGAGATGGAAGGGGCGGGCGGATGCGGTAGACTGCACAGAGATCCCGCTTCGCGAGAACGAAGGCGGGAGGAAGGCATACGTTTTCCCGAGCACGCCTGGTGCGCGATTTGTAGCGGCTGGTCACGGATGTGCGTATTCATGCTGTTCTATCGCCTATTGCGTGGAATACATCAGGTCTGGTATACCTCCCGTCCTTCGTCCCGCACAACGAACAGAGGCAGCTCGTGCGATGGGCTCTGCGAGATCACGCTCGCCTTCCGAACGAAACAAATCTGGACACCCACTATGTCCTTCCGCCAGAAGGCCTTTGGAACCAGTATCTTCGTGTGCGGAAGGGAGAGTGCGAGGACGCAGAGATCCTTCCCCGCGCGTTCCTGCAACCAACCTCAGCAACCGCCTCGGACGCGTCCGCCGCACAACCGAAGGCAGCAGATGCGGAACCTCCTGGTCCTCGGAAGCTCGTCGCGAACGAAGCCGCGAGCCCCGGCAACTACAAATCGCTCGCCAATACACCTAAACTTCCTGCCGCGCCTTCTCAATCTGTACGTCCGATCCTGACATCTAACCTGGTGCCAAAGCTCCGGTGGGCAAACATCGGGTGGTATTATCATTGGGGCACAAAGCAGTACGACTTCTCGAGAGGACCGGGAGAGATCGCGGATCTTGTCAGAGGTGTCTGTAGAAGAGCAGTAGAGCAAATTCCCTGGGAAGAAGTATTTGGAGATGGGGTTGGAGATGAAATGGACTGGGGAGAGACGGGCCCGGATTGGGCGTACTGGAAGGAAACGTACGGTGCGCGCTGCCGATTTCTTCGTGCCTTTACGACACCTGCTGAGCGACCAACGCAGAGCCGGATGCCGGTATCGTGAACTTTTATCAAACGAAAGTCGGTTATATATATCGGATACTGCAACCGGGCAAACAGACTGATATTCTGTCATTCTAGGACACTCTAATGGCCCACGCTGACCGCTCAGAGATCTGCGCGACCTCTCCATTGGTGTCGATCTCGTAAGCCATGCATCCTTTCGCAGAGTGTACAAACCCGAGATCGTTGCTGATAATCCGGAACGCAGACTTGGGTGTGCAGCGGTCTTCCTCATAGGCGGCCTTACGCGCGACGATCCACCGACTCCGATCCTCCTCCGTTCCGGCGACGCTGTCGTCATGTCCGGACCTGCGTGTCGTCGAGCCTACCATGGTCGGTACTCGCTTCGCTTCGCATCTATTCGCCAAAACATTCACGCCGGTTCTGAATCCACAGGCGTGCCACGCATCCTGGAAGGGACTCTTCCGCCTCATCTCGAAGGTCCCAACGTCTGGGGCTCTGACGAAGACGACTGGGGAGTGTATGAGGAGTACCTTTGCGGGACGAGGATCAATGTCAATGTCAGGCAAGTCTTCCCAAAGGGCTTCGACCCCGTGCTGTATTGGACACAACAAAATGAAGTGTAAGCGTGGAGCACGTGCTGTTTCAATTCGAATTGGGCGTGCCCGAATCGACATCTCTGACTGGTTCTACTCACCGAGACTTAACGTCGCCGGATCGGGCGTACACGCCTTAGGCTGCCGATGTCCTTTGGTGTCTATGTGACTCCGGCGTCGCGACGAAATGCTTGAGGTCACCAGTATCATGATCGTATGTCGCATTCTCCTCAGCTGCTGAGGTCTCTGCTCGTCATCGGGACTCGCACTCTGTGGATTACTCAGCAACAAGCAGATCCATAGTCCTTGCCATGACATCGCCGCTAGCCACGGAACGTCGTCGCAATACCACTCAAGCAGCAAATTTTTGCATCTGCCGGCAGAAGCCAGAGGCACGTGCCACCTACAACCATACCCGTTACCGAAACAGGCAATCTTACAAGCCACTCCGACGTGCACTCGTGGCCAGTGAGACAGTGGCTCCGGGGCGGCTGCAAGCCTCGGAAGCGCGTACCACACAGCGCCGCAGGACGTAGAGATAAACGGTAAATTCTATGGTTTGGATCATCTAAGCACATGTTGACTCCGATGCACTTCTAGGGCTTATCCTCCTCCGATGGGGAATGGCTGTACCTGATGCAAACCTAGGGTGCGTGTTTCAGTCGTCTTCAGTAGCCAGTCTCCGGGCATGCACAGGCGTACGTGGGAGAGACGATTCATGTCCTCGCATGACAGTGGACGTGTGCACGCTTACTGCCACATATTTAGAGGGTGCTTCCTCTGTTGGCACGACGGCCATGGTTACCCCTTTCCCTCTATCGGCTTCTGTCACAAAATTTGATCGTTTCGCATATATTCGCCGCTCAGACACTTCCGTTCGCCTACTGGTGCCTCGATGTGCTTGTCGATACAGGGCTTGCAATCCCCCTATATCTGCGAGCACTCTTGGAATGGGGTAAAGGCAATCCTATCCTTATCTCCACAGTTCTTCAGAGCCTACCTTGATACAAGAGGCTTCCGCGGATTACGGGGAAAGGAGAACATGCTCACAGCATCATCTCACTCCGGGCGCCCGATAGCCACTTTGGTTTTGCGTGTTCCTTTCATGATGATTGCATGCTGACTTACAACCAACGTCGGCTGGTGCATGTAGCTATCGGCGTATGCTATCGTGCCTTATGAGACGCAGTAGTCGCATGTGGTCAAGCACGTTCGGCTTCAGCGGTCGCATCGGTGCTCTATCTTTGGGTCTGTATGGAGTCCGAGGCTGGGGCTTCGCGGGCAGATACGCTCTGAGTTGATGACGCCTTGAATGCTTGTCCACCTCCCATGCACTGTGTCTCAAACCGCAAGGAACCGCCTGCTCTTCGGAGTTATAAGCGAACCAGCGGTTTCTGTCTCGTGTGACATTATCGCATACACCATGCTATCGTCGCAGGCCGCCTCCTTCCGACTTCCAGACACGCTCGCTGCCTGGCCGTGGACTCGTCGTATCAACCCTCACTATGCAGAAGTAAAGGAGGCTTCTGCCGCATGGTTGGAGTCATTCCATGCCTTCGGTCCCAAAGCCCAAAGGGCTTTCAATCTTTGCGACTTCAGTAAGCAACCGTTCCATGTCCTTGCCGCGTCACTTCGTCAGCTTACCCCCCTATGCTCTGTTATAGACCTTTTGGCCTCGCTTGCCTATCCTATTGCTAGCAAAGGTCGACCCTGCCACATTTGTACTTCCGCATCACGCTGACATAGCCTCACAGAGCAACTCCGCACTGGCTGCGACCTCATGAACGTCTTTTTCGTGTTTGACGAGTATTCCGACGTTACCGACGAGAAGACCGTTCAAGGCCTCGCTGATATTATCATGGATGCTCTTCGTAATCCTTTCGCGCCTCGCCCAGCCGGAGAAAATGTTTTGGGGGAGATCACGAGGCAGTATGTGTTCAAGCGGTGCAATCGGCGCCCTTAGATCCGCTCACGTTGAATCTGCAGATTCTGGGAACGGGCGATCCAAACGGCGAGCCCCGCATCGCAGCGACGTTTTATCGCGACCTTCGACACCTACTGCCAGTCAGTCGTGCAGCAGGCAGCGGACCGCGATGTACAGCATGTGCGGACCATAGACAGCTACTTCGAGAATAGGCGCGAGAACATTGGCGCGAGGCCGTCGTTCGCCCTCCTCGAGCTCGACATGGACCTGCCTGACGAGGTGATGGAGCACCCGGCGATCGTCGATCTGACCACGGGGGCCATTGATATGCTGATCCTAGGCAACGTGCGTGTAAACTATGACTGCGTCGTTTTATCGACCGCTGACAATGACTTCTAGGATATATGCTCGTACAACGTGGAACAAGCACGAGGGGACGATGCACACAACATCGTTACTGTCGTCATGGACGAGCTCGGTACGGACCTGCATGGGGCGATGGAATGGGTCGCGGAAAGGCATCGCATTCTCGTTGGTCAGTTCCTGGAGCGCTTCGGACGACTTCCTTCGTGGGGCCCAGAGATCGACGCTCAGGTTGCGCGCTACGTCGATGGGTTGGGCAATTGGGTCCGCGCGAACGACTCGTGGAGTTTCGAGAGTCAGCGGTACTTCGGTCTGGACGGGTTGGAGATCAAAGAGAGCCGGTGGGTGCAGTTGCTGCGGAAGGTCTCCACGCCGAAGCTTGGGGCCAGGAAAGAACTCGTATACTCCGATATCAGAGTGCCACCAGTCAGCTTCGTGCTCGTATCCATTTGCTTATTTATCGTCGCCCTGAATGTCTGATTAATTCACTCTCACTTCTGATTCTGCACTCAAACGGATACCGTGCAAGGATCGAACGCCTGACTTTGTGTACTGGTACAACGAGGAAATTGCGCGAAAGTAATTGTGCTAAGGTCAATGGCCGTCACTCGCTAATCCTCACATTCACGTGTGTCAGACTGCATATATGTCCTTTCTCAGCTGCTGTGACGTAGCATTTAAGAGATACGGAGGGTTCTGGGTGGCGTTGGAATGGAGACCAAGTCTCGCCGCAAGTTATCAGCCGCTGCCTTGCGGCTGACACCCTCCACCCTTGCCTTCGTACCACACCCTGCTAAACGCAACCTCACCTTTTCATCTGCTGTGCAGTCATCTTAGAGAATCAGGTTTATTATATTTGAGATGTCTTACTCTTACAGGAAGTCCAATGTCGCCGGCGGGTCCTGGTCGACACCCTTCAACACTCCCTTCTTCATCCGCTATGGCGAGTCGAGCATCAAGGTTCCGATGGTGAAGCTCCTCCTCGAGTACGAGATCTGGGAGAAGCTCCGGGGTCCCAGTTAGTTTCCTCTTCCCTCTCGTGGGCCCGGGCGGATGTACTCATAATCCTCCCAGGCAACTCGGATCAGGGACCTCGTGCTCCTTCCGAGGCGTCCTTCGCTGACGACCCATTCGCGTCTTCAGGCCCTATCGACTGGGCTGAAGAGGTCGAGCAGGAGCTCTTCTTTGACGACGGAGCATCCGACAGCAAAGACAGCGAACCCGTGGCGGAAGAATTTGACGACTCTGATGACGACGAAGTCCTCATGATCGTCCCGATTGAAGATCTAAGGTTCTCGGGGAGAGGACCTGCCTATGCTCTCTACACGATCCTAGAGGTCGACGAGGTGGTCGACGATAAATGTGAAGCCCAAGAGACCGAATCCGACGACGCCGACGACACCGACTCGACTTCAACGATCTCGACCGACTCGGCCTACTCGACCGACTCAACCACTTCGACCGACTCAACCACTTCGACCGACTTCGACTTATCGGCTTTCCGCCTCGACAACATCAACACCGCCGACAGCGGCTCCTCAGTCGACACGGTCCGAGTCGAAGACCCTGGCTCGGTCAGCGGTAATTTGTTCCACGGGGCCATCCAGCATCTGTCTGTGATGGCCCTGCTCAAACTTGACGCGTACATCCGCTTTTTTCAGATCGCAGCGCAAATAAGCCTGAACAGGTTTCCGTTCTGGCTCAATTCCCCGTTCAACCGGGACCGGGGGCTCCTCTGAGCTTGACTCAGGGATTAGGGAAAGATTTTGGCATGGTGAGGCCTTGTAACTGCGGGCGGTGTGATGGCGACCTGCCGCTCGCACTCAGACACGGACAGACTCGAACTCGGACCCAGATTCGGGCTTGAATATGGACTTGGACTCGGACTCGAACTCGGACTTGAACTCGGACTTGGACTTGGATCTGGCTCTGTAGTTTCAAGTCTTGTTTGTTCAGCTTTCGAGTCGCGGAGAGTTGAGAGGCGGACGGGAGAGGGGGGCGGCTTAGCGCTGAGCGGTGGGAGTGTGGATGGGACGGTACGAGGGCGTGTGGAAGGGAAAGTACGAGGGCGGTGGATGGGAAAGTAGGCGGGCGTGTGGAAGTCAGTCGGCGGTTTGATGGTCAAGTAGGCGGACGTGTGGATAGGAAATCAGGCGGGGGTGTGGACGGGAGAGCGGGCGCTGCTGAGCGGCGGGGGTGTGGTAGGGAGAGTCAGCGGGAGTGTGAGGGGAACTGCCGGAGATCAGCGAGTGGTTGAATCGTGACCCAAGGCGAGGACTTATAACATTAGCATGTTGCTCAGGATCTGGACTCGAGTTAGATACGTACTATACTGAGTTCGTGATCGTTGTTCTGCACTTGCTGTGGATTCTCTGTGTAGCAGTTAGGTAGTGCATCGTGTAGGATGACGGTTTTTTAGTTGTCCTCACGCAGTGTACGTGAGGTAGTCTAGTCAACGCCCTTACACGCACGCCGTGAGGTGGACTTCATATAAACGTAACATTTTGTTTGGCGATGAATTGTGGGACCTCACCGACGGATTCGTCATGCGCACCCACGTCTAGGCGTATCATGTGCCGGAAAACATGCTTGGACACCCAAACGACATGCACACGCGATGCGCAAGGCCAGAACACAGTCCAGCGTGCAATCCGCTGGCGTGACTGTCGCCTAAATAGCAATTGACGAGGCATTCGTGAGACATCTTCGAGATCCCAGCAGGTTATGAACATGCTCGTGGCGTCCAAAGGACAAGGTTGTGTAACCCACCCTATGTAGCTAATCAAACTTCCGCCCTGTCCTCGCAGCAGGTACGGACTGGCCAAGTCCCCGTATCCTCACCCTCCCAGTGTCACCGGCTGGACTTCTCGCGCTCATTGTGTCCATGTCCACCGCCTCGCCCTCTTCAATGCTCTCTGCGCCATCACTAGGAGCGCGTTGATGTCTTGCTCCACCCCGGCCGCTGCCGCTATAACTCGCACTAGCACTTCCTCCGGCGCCGACGCTGAGTATTCGGACGATCCAATCGTTCAAGAAAATCACGGGCGCGAAGACCGGTATGCGGATCGGGATGAGCGGCGAAGGATAATGAATCGTGTCATCATTCCCGGACCCGCCTCTGGCCGATGATGTGGGGTCATATGGATCCAGTGGGACCGGCTTAGCATACATCGCCATAATGATGTACTAAACATAGAGATCAACGGCGGCACCCTATGACATTGGACACAATGCATACCGCGGGGAAGAATAAGGCAAACAGAGCAGCGTTCGCGAGACTGCTGCCCCATGTGCATAATGCTGCGGAGGGTAGTCCTGAGGGTATGCATAGTCAAACTTCGTGGTCGAAAGGGACACGTCTAGTATTTACCGAAGGCAAAGTAATACGCCCACCGTTCCTCTAGATGCCGTACGCGTCGCGATAACGATAGCCCGCGTGCGATCCAAATAAACCTGTGGATAGATCAGCAGACGCGCGCAGCCGCATGGACCCAACGACTTACTCAAAGCAATAATAACTGCACCGTCCTCTCCGCATCAGCAATCCGCCTTGCGATCCTACGTTATGCGACTTACGCATCAACCCAGCATAGGAATGCGAATCCTGCTGGTGGCCCAACATAGGGAACGTAGGAAAGGGCGAATGAAAGGACGACAGAAGTAAACACCATCACCGCGCGATACGCCGACGTTGCGAGCGCGTTGAGCATGCCGCTATAGGTAGACGGCGGCTGCGCAGCAGCGCGGGTGCCATGTTGAATAGTGAAGGTGCGTTTGGCTATGAGCGTGCACCATGAGCTCTACGGTAATCATCAACGCGCGAACGAGGGAACGGGCAGGATGTGGGAACCATAGCCGGCATGCGCTGCATGCTCTGCATGCTTTGGACGATAGTCAGAGATAGAACAATGTATATCTTGTGGATGCCAGCAGCGGCACCCTCAAAGATGTGGATTGAATGTGTGCATCATATCGCCGATCCCAGGCATCCAAAGGTGGCAGGTGCCTCAGGACTCACGTTGAGATAGAAGGATATCCCGACGACCGGGAGCAGCCAGAGGACCTGATAGAACCACCCAAGGTTTCGATGAAACCACTTTTGCTGCGATTGCGCCAATGGAAGGAGTAGCCAATCAAAGAAGTAGATAGACACCAACGAGACCGTGTTCAGCATGAGGGACTTGAATACATTCGATCGGACCTCAGAGTCGCTGTTCATCAGGCAATCTATCAGATCTGACATGACCCTATGGATCTGGATGGCGAAACAGACCTGGCGGCGAGTCTAACAACTGTGTCCCATCTGAACGCATCGACGAGCCCGCGACCGGCACACGACAGCTGCAGCCAGGCAGTCTCTTGTAGAGATAGAAATGTGGGGTATGTCGACCGGGAAGAAGCATACTGGGGCGCCTGGATGAACTCCGAAGACGACGGCGGCGTGTATTGCGGTCTAGGCCGCCGGGGGGGACGAGACATGGGGCAGAGTACGAGGCCGGACGCGGGGTCGCGGACGGTGGCTGAGACATGTATCTCGTCCAGCGTCTGTCGCCCTTTGTCCGCGGCATCGGTCACGCACCGTGACCGCGGCGGCTGCATCGTGCCACGGAATGCCGTCGGCAAGCCTCGGACAACGCAAGACCGTACATGGATGCAAAGTTCAAACTGGGAGCATTCTCGAGACAAGCTTACAGCTGAGACAGCCTTCGCCAATCACGATTATCTCCATCAGCGTCCGGTAACGCTTGAGGTTAAGTCCTTGGCAGACTGTGTCAAAGTCTCGAGGGTCCATGGGATACACAACGCTATAGGATACGCTCTCCAGCCTACTATGGACACAACAACAGAGTATATGGCACTGGTGATGGCACGAAAGTACGAGTACGACGGCAATGCAAGGCAATTGACACACAAAGAGCACAGATCGAGATGACAGCAGACAAAATCAAAGACGCGCCGGGAACAGCACCAGGGTACGATCCTCGAACCCTCAAGGGCCGTTCACCTTCCAGAGCTGCCTCTTGCGCAGTTTGCGGGTGACGAGCACGCCCGTCGACTGCGTCGAGCTGCCGCCGAACGCCAGCACGACCGTCTCCTCGGCGCCTTGGCCTCGCGCGATGCTCTGCTTCCGCAGCTCGATGGCATCCTTGGCGAATTTGAAGCGCGAGTGTGTTGACCCTGAATACAGCAACAACGTGACAGTGACGTAAGTTCGAGGTCTTCGTGGCAGATGACGTGGGACACTAACCGAGCTGAAACGTGGGCGACTCTACCGCAGCTTTGAACAGATCGAACGGTACACGAGCAAACACCTGGAGGAGCGTGTCACGACCCGCATCGGTGGGTGTGCTCGAAGATTCTGGCAGGGGTGTCGTAGGAGTGGCCTGCCCACCGAAGTTCACAAGGTTCGGGAGCGTAACGATGAGGAAGTTAAAGACATCGTCGCGCAAACGCTGTGCATAGGAGCCGAACACTGCTGTGCGTAGGTGCTGGTGTTGCTCGACAATGGGCGTAGAGGAGCCGTCACTTGGAGCTGGTACTGAATCGACGAACTCTAGCCAAGATGGAAGAGTGTCGAGGCTGATCGATTGTCGACAAACCTCATAAGCGTAGTTGCAGAGGTCATCCATGCGGCCAAGCAGACAAGCGGCCGCTAGGACAGCACGGGCATTTTCGGGGCGAATACTAGCGAGTGCGGCAGCGGAGTAGAGATATGCCAATGCTGTGAAACGACTGTGAGTGAACGATACCACCGACGCCTGCTTCCGTGAAAATACCGAGTCGGCTTACCGTGGTGAAATCCCTGTGCGCATCGTGAGATGAACGTTTTTGCCTGAACTTAGCAGAAAATGACGTACCTCGTCTGTGACTTCTGGTTCATGTTCCAAATTAACATAGATTACGTATTGGCTATTCGTTTGCGGGGATGTTGACATCAGATGTGCAAGGTATGGAGATCGAGACAAAATGAGAGCGTGTAGTCGATATACAGTTCCACGGACATGCTGATTGCGACACTTCAATCCAGAGCTCAAGGGATAAGGAGAGATGACGCGCACCAGTAGTGTATCAGCGTAGTTCTGTAGTCCGAATTTAGCCATAAATCAAGCGACGCGTGTGGATGGCAACGTACGCCAGTCTGGAAGCCTGAATGAAAGAGATGATTGATGATATCTTGATTATGCAGTTGATATAGAGAGGGATGTCTGTGTTCAAGCAGTCAGCTAATGCTCATGCGCTCCACCTTGACATTGTCAGTGCCGCAGAAAACCGCACTGCGCCCGCACAAATAGACGCCTAACGAACGTCCCAAATTCGCCATTGTCGATTCACTCCGCACGAACCCTAGCAGCCCGCACTTCTGAAGTGCTCGTGTGAGAGACGCGGTCCACGGGCACGCCTCGAACAGGAGTCGCACGGGATGCAGCACGTCACCAGCGATGAACGTGCAAAGTCTCACGCGCCACAAAATCTTCAGGTAGCGAGACAACGTATGTCCATCCAACACTCCCCTCTTCACCCCTGCCCAACGACCAGCCCGAATCACACCAGGGTTGAGATGACCGACTCACTGATCGTATCCATTTACGGGCGCACCCGCGCTAGTGGAGGGTCCGTTCGCGTAACCATCCCCGGGGCCAGGAGTCGCCGTGCCGTTACTTGGTGCACCGTGTCCGTTCATGATCATAGAGAGCGCACAAAAGGGCGAGGCTGATGTACTTTTGGGACGTAATGTCCACAACAAGGCGGTAGAGAGAGACGTGTACGTCGAGACCTGCAGAGCTGCAGGAAAGAACTGAAAGACCCAGTCTTTGCCGCCGGTGCCACTCACACAGTCACGTGCGCTATTATTGTCGCAGACACGTGACTTATCAAGAGCGCTTATAGGCGGTAATCCGGTCCGACACGTGGGCGAGCATGGGTATACCTCGAGTGTGGCTGAATTGGACGAGCTTTCGAAGCGTAAAAACGTCTATCACCGGAAATTCATGCATGGTATCCTGTAACGTACACAATATATAGAACCGCCCGCGCAATGATACCCTAAGAGAAGCTCACCGGAGCGCACACGACGTCCGTCTTCTCGCCCTGCTGGTCCAGTACGTACAACTTGAAGCTCGCGCCCCACTTCCCACTTCCCACTTCTTTCGGAACGGAGGGTCTAGTCCGAGCATGATGCAGCTAGTACCCCAGGTTTCGAAGCTTCAAGCTTCAGAACCCCACCTCGGAGCGGGTACGTCGTCAGCCCCTGAGAGCCATCGGACGGAGCTCCCCACGTCCAGCACCTGCCCATACTGGACCGCGCCTGGGGCGCTCCGAGTCCCCATCGCCGTCCCAGAACCGAGGGGGGGCCCCACCCCCAATAGCGTGTCTTCAGGTGGGTCTTCTTCGGCCAGACGGTTCGGCATGATGCCCATCGCCACGAAGGACTCCATGAGGTTGTGCGCGATGCCGCGCTCCCTCGCCTTCGCGCCACGGAGCGGCGGGTACGGGGGAGGGGGGGAGGAGTACCGTGCTTCTACAGCGTCCGGCGCGCGACACATGCCCAGAACGCGATCGGTGCACGTCAGTTACGGGTGAGAGAAGAGGCGGTGAGGTGACCCCCGCTCTTCGAGCACCTCTTCCTCCTCATCGCCCTGATCAGACTCCGCGCAGTGACAGCCACACGTAAAGCGGGCGGCCAAGGTCTCGTACGGAGAGATCGATGGGCACGCTGTGTATTTGTCTGCGGACGCAATGCGTGCTAGGTCAAGTCCGGCCACCCGCGACTCTATACCCGCACGAGGGCAGACGATGTGCAGAAGACGGGCGAGAAGAACAGGATGACAGATGGGCCAGTTGTGGTGAGAACGCACCGTGGTCAGTTGTCCTCGCATCCGCACCAGAACCGTCCACACCCCCCATGCCGGCGTCATCGGGTCCTCGCTCTGTTCACCTAAGTACGGCCCCGACACTGGTCGCGAGCCCCACCCCTGGAGCAGGTACGATCTAGCACGAAAGCAGCGACATGAGCACGCGAGCCACAGCGACCTGACGCGATAGGAAACAAAAGGCCTCCGAGTCGGCGACCGCGCGCGCGGACGGTACTTAGCACGGCTCGAATCAGATGAAAGTCGAAACAGCCCGGAGCCGGCGCCCCACGGGGAACGGAGACGGACGACGGGGAGGCGGAGGCGGGGAAACGTCTGCTGACCATGTGCGACCGATCGGAGGCGAAGTGATCGAGATACACGGCTGCGGGGATGACTCTGAACAAGCTGCGAGGTGCATACAGTATGAAGTGGACAAGTTTCAGCTCTCAGGCCGGCCGATGCGTGCGCGGTCTGGCTGGGAACGTACCTGTGGAACCGGCCGTCAATGCAGGCCTTCAGTTCTTCGTCGAACGCGTAAGGGAAGGTCCTCCCCACATAGTCTGGGAGATCCGGCAGGTCGAGTGCAGTAGCAGCGATCAAGGCGCATTCACGTTTGAGCATGCCGGCGACCAGGTCCCAGGGGACGCAAACGTTGCAAGTTCCAATCATACACAGGCGCGACGGTCCGAACGCGATCGTCGAGGCCACATGCGCACAGAAGGACCGCGGCGGCGCGCACGCGACATCACGAACAGGAGGGACCATCACCGCGTCGCGTGCGACGTAACATCGTCAAGGGGAAGCGTCAGCAGGCGTTCGGAGGCATAACAAAGGCGAGCGTGCATGACTTGTTTAGCATGTACGCGAGCGCGGCGTACCTTTCCACGAGCTCGGGACGGCTAGGGTCGTGTCGAAGTCGTACACCCACGCGCTGGCACCGGCACTAGCGTCTGCGTGGTCGACTGCGAGGTGCAGATCGCCGCCCTCGTCCGCCTCGCCCGGTTGGAGGGCAGGACCGGTCGTGGAGGCCGGTGGTCGGAATTGCGCGCCTGGGCAGCGCGGATGCGCAGGCGGGGAAGGACCGCGTGCCTCGCGATCGCCAGGCGAATCCCTGGTGGGTGGGTGGGCCCCGTTTGCAGCTTTTCGGAGCACCAAGACGACGTGGTAGTCCCAGACGACGACGTCCGAGGCGCGCAGCTTCTGCGCCCACAGCGCGACCTGTCGAAAGGAGGGACAGCCGAGGGTGAGCGCGAGTCCGACGAGCGAGCGCAGTACTACTGTAATGGCCGCCGGGGGAGAGAACACGCAGAGAAGGGAGCAGGACGCGCGAGAATAGAAACACGGACCGTCTTTCCGTGGTTAGAGACGAAAACGACGTAAATCTCCCAGGGCCAAGGGGCCACGCGCGAGCTGGCTTCCGCGAGGAAGGTCTGCGCGAGAAGGTAGATGTTCTCTTCGCGGTAGCACGATATGTAGATGCTGTCAGGTGGGATCATAGGAAGCGGGGGCGAGAGAACGTTCGAGCGCGACCCAGAGTTTGCGGAAGACACACCGGCGACAGACGAGTGACTGGGAGAAGACATGATGTGTGATAGTAGATTGCAAGATGTGGATAGCGCCTATTATAAGTAGTGAATGAAATGAGTGCAACAGGATGTGCGTAGATAGCAAAATGCAGCGATGCGATACGGAACGATGATACCCCCCGCCCTTTATGGCCCTATTACCCTTCGCGACCATAAAAACACAAACTCCTATAGTACAGAGCCGCCAACGCGGCCACTTTGGTTTCCGACCGAGGCCGGGCAAGTCGAGAAGTCCTTCGTATTCAGCAGGGAGAGAAAGCGCGCGACGCTTCCTTTCCCGCGAGCGCCGCCACGCGCAGAGGCGCGGGCGATTTCGTGAGCAAGAGAAAAAGATCTGCGGCGGCCGAAATCAGCATGCAGGAACGATGACGAAGGCCAGTGAAGAGAAGCGGAGACTAGGTTCTGAGGCCACAGACTAGCTATAGAAAACCCGGGGCATCGACGAGCCAGAGCCAGAGGAAGCGTACTCACGATGGGTATAGGACATCACATGGGTATGTAGGGCGATCGCGTCACTGTGCCTTGCGCTGCCGCCCCGAGGAGGACACGGGCATGGGGGCGGGGGCGAGGGAGACCTGGTCGATGCCCCACTGCGCCTTGCCCTGGAAGGCGTCCGAGAACTTCTTCTTGAGGAGGATGTCCTCGAGCTCGGGCGAGGAGCGCTCCGGGCGGAAGGGGACGAAGATGGGCTTGGGACCGGACGAGTGCGAGTGCGAGCTCGGCTTGGGTGGGGAGGCGCGCTTCGGCTGTGGCGCGTGGAGGGGCGCGGGGGTGGTGACGAGGATGGGCCCTTGCGCGGAGGCGTGGTTGCCGGGCATTGCCTTGGAGGACGAGGGCAGGGGATGGGGGAACTGGGATGGCGCGGCGGGCTTGGGCATGAGGCCCGAGTTGTTCGTGAACGGGTGGGTCGCGAGCGGGTTGAAGGAGGAGAGCACCGAGTTGGACATGTTGGTGGCTGAGGCACGAGTAGGAAGCAGCTGTTGAATGCGCAGAGGTGCAACGGGTGGTATGACGGGAAACCAGCGGAAGAGGGGGGTGTATTTATGGTGGAGTGGATGGAGAGAAGAACAAGCAGAGGTCGCGAGGCATAAATTGGCAGGAATATACGAGCAGCCAATTAATGTGGCTTGTGTGCCCGAGCGAGCGGGCGGAATACGAGGACCGGGGAAACCGCGGCAGGCGCGAGCAGGAATATTGGCTATCGTGCAGTCACCTGTTTTTGCGCCCTCCGCATTCGTCCAAGCGTGCCCGAGGGTCTGTCCCCGCCGCCTTTCCGTGCCCGAGCCGGTAGTTGCCATATGATAATTATCTGCGATCCCCCGTATCCAAATCTCGCCCACAGCTTCGCCACGCGCTTGCTCCACAACGCCCGTCTCCCGCCAAATCGCAGTTCTATTAAGTAGCCATTAATGTGCCCAGCGTCCCTCCCCTTCTCGACTGTATCTACCCACCGTGCTGCGCAATCCCCCAAGTTTCCCCGACCATGCTCGCCCCATCTTTAGCACGCGCGGACATTGGGCCGCGATTTGTCCAAACGAGGCGCATCCTGCTTCGTAGCGCCAATTCATTCACCCCGGATTGTCGCCCTTGTGGCTGAGCCATGAGATTCGTGCTCCTGGTCTGCGGGCGTCCTTCGGATATTATACGTGTTTAGAACAGCGAGAAGCTGATAGGCTGACAGCGCGGACTGAACGCCTGCCCCTCGTGAGTGCTCATGTCCCCGGGCGTGCCTCCAACACAGACGGCCTCGAGAACCGCATTCGGGCAGAGACGCGGAAAAGCATGACTGGCGCACCCCATACGTATCGTCTTTTACATACGCTGGCACTGATCACAGTCGAGAAGCCGTGTTGTGCGAGGCGTCGGACGCAGGTTCCGGGCCACGCGTTGAGTTAAACGTACATACCCAAGCGCCCCGCGAGGTACGGCTGCGACGGTGAATATGTAGCAACGCTCTTTGAAGCCGCCTGCCCCACGGCTTCTACATACCCCGCAGTCCCTCACCGGCATTCTGGGCGAGTGTTCCGAACGAAAGAAGCCTGTAGGCAAAGTGGGAAGCGACGGCACTCGCGAGAGCGCAGACACGCCTGCGTCAGGTGGCCAGACGTGGGTTGCCGTCGCGCAGACGGACGGACCCAGGGGCCGCATGTATGGGAGAGCCCACGTCGCGTTCGCGTGCATGAGATGCGGGGACGCGTCCGACGGGCTCTTGTCGTGCGCTGCCCCATCTCTTCCCCGCGTTTTGTCGTGCGATACGCTGCTCGAACCGCGCCAAAGTCCGTCTCGCCCGTCAGGCATCACGGCAGGAAGACGTCAGAGTGCCACAAGCGAGCTTTTCGAACGTCGAGCGAGGCTTCCCTGAACCGCATCCCGACCCGGGGTTCCGAACGCGCACACGATAGGGTGGGGGCTTGCTTGTGTGGGGCATCGCAACGTCAACGGTACCCTCGGATGGTTCTCCCGCCACTGGCCGCCCACCCTCGGAAGAGTTCTCTATGATGTGTTCTCCGTGAGCGATAGCTTGTTTCCCTCGTTAGCTCAAGGGTAAGCAACTCAAAGGCGCCACGATGAGCGACGCGATAGCGGGTGGAGAGTGGTCAAGACGTCGGCTACGTGAGTCAGAAATTCTTGTATGTGGAGTGGTCGAGGCTGATGATCAATGGTACCCTCTCGTGTTAGGGTGCAAGATGGCCCCATCAACTACCATTCTGCTTGGAGCTACTATCTAGCACGCTTGTTGCTCCACCACGGGGAGAGCGGTGCCCCGCCCGCCCGCCCGCCCGCCGCCTTCCCGCGATGTCCACCCACTCGCCCGATGCACAAGACCACACCTGCCACAACAGCGAAGCACTTGATTCCGCCTAGCGTATCTCGATACTGTAGCCCACGTCCTGCCCAATGACGACGCGCGTTCCCGCCGAGAGCCCGAGCCCGCAGATAGGGTTACACAGCCCACTGTGCCCCGCGCGAGCGGCACCCAGGCCCTCGACGTCATGGCCTTGATGCCGGACCCGTCCAATCGTCGATGCAGATATCACCGTGTACCGTGTGCCTCCGTTTAGAATTGCAGCGCCGCGACTCCCGCGACCCGCCCCGTTGCCAGGCCCGCACGACCTTCCACCGATGCCGCGCAGCAGCAGCAGCAGCAGCAGCAGTCGACGGCGCCGATCTTCCTTGGTCCCTCCCTTGTGCCCGGGCTTCCCGACGGAGTTAAGCACGCGGCCGCGCGAGCACCGCGGGCGATCTTCGCCGACGCGTGGGGGAGGAAGCTGCGGTCGCGACGGGTTCGGAGGGATGTGCGGTGCCGTCTTTGGTGCTGTCCTCTAGATCTGTGCTGTCCTCTTCTCTTCTTCGATGGACCGTCTGGCCTCGACCCGCTGGTTGCTCAACGCTTGCGTCATGCGTTCCTGGAGCCGCAGAGAAGGAGGCTGCGACTGAATTCCACGCGCTGATAGCTTGCGTCCAGGCTGCGTCCGAGTCCAACTAAGTGGCGATGGGAGCGTGCTTATCCCCTTACGTGGGCGATCGACTCTGTATTGTCCGCGGGCACCCAGAACCAGACAGGATAGGCGTGCTGAGCATCGTGAAGTCGAGATTCTAGCGCATGTAAGGGAGATGGACGCAGAGGTTGCGGGACAGGCGAGGAATGGCGAATGTCTCGCATTCTAGTCCTCGGAGATTAGATTGGAACAGAAAGCTCTAGCGTCTATCTCTCGATCATACACGGGCGCCTGCGTAATTTTTGAGAACCTGCCGCCAGAATACGGCAGAGAGCGTACGGCTCGCAGCCACCGTCATGTCTACCACCCTTGACCTCTTCTGGCATCTCCCTTCGGCCAGCAAGAAGGAGAGGATAGATGCCTCTGTGAAGCTCATATCTGCCCTAGAGCACTTCCAGTCGACATTCGTGCCAAGGGACTCTCCGGAGTCGTCGGAGGACGAAGACGAGGCTAGGGATACCAAGAAGTCGGACGGGCTCGACGCGCTGAACGCGCAGGACGTGTCGTACTCTTTGCGGAGGCTGATACGCGGGTTGGCGAGTCCGCGAGAGAGCAGCAGGCTCGGTTTCGCAGTGGCCCTGACCGAGGTGCGTGCATTGACTGACTCCAATAGGTCGTGAACGCACCTTACCTTCTCCGCGTCTAGCTTCTGTCCCGGATAGACACTGTGACGTGCTCTCAGATTCTTCAGCTCGTCCTGGACTCGTCTAAAACGCAGGGCTCTATGACCGGCCAGGAGGAACGCGACGTGCTCTTCGCTCGCTTGTTCGGTCTTACCTCTGTCATCCGGTCTGGTTTGCTCTTGCGCGACACCACCCTTCCTTCCTCATCAACCGTTGCCTCGGACTTGGCTAGCTTCAAGGAGGTTCTCGTCCAACTGCTGGCGCTCGGAGAGAAGAAGTCGTGGCTGCGCGAAAGCGCATGGTGGTCCATCGGCCTCGCAGTTGACGCTCTCTCCGCATCAGAGGTCTCTTGGAGAAACGATGCTGTCGATGCAACGATTGCCGCAATATACTCGGAGCATAAAATCTGGACACCCGAGAAACTGGCACTGACGCTGAAACTCCAGTCGTACCATCCGTCTCGAGACTGGAAGAGAGTCCTATCGCCTACATTCAAGAATCCAGATCTCCTCAGCACGGGGAATCTCGCCGCCGTTGCGCGGATACTGAAGGTACGATCTGATTCCATCCCGTTCGAATATCTCCGCGCTGCCTCCTACGGACGGACTAACCCATGTCCGCACGGTAGGAATCAGACGCGGACGAGGACAAGGAGTCAGATCTGCCGAAATCTGGATCGTGGAAGCCACAGCTTCACTTCGTCTGGGACACGCTCCTGGATCAGGTTCTGCCCCAGCCCCCAAACGCGAAAGGCACCGTGGAGCGCTCGCCCAAGGGCTTATTCCCAGAGTTTTTCCGGATCGTCGTCGATGGTGTGTCTCCTCCCCTGTTTACCCCACACCTTCTTTTTTCATACGACTGTGCTTCGGCAAGGCTAATGCTGGAGTCGGCACCTCACAGAATCGCTGTTCGCGTCGACCTCTTCCCCCGAGCGGAAGTACTGGGGCTTCCAGGTGTTCCAAAAGGCGCTGCCTCGTGTCAGCGCGGACGACATGCCCATGCTGTTCACGAAGAACTTCATGCGATCGTGGATCAACCATCTGTCGAATAGCGACCGGTATCTTCACAAGGCCGCCCGGCAAGTGGTACGTATCACTCTTTGGCTGTCCTCGAGGCCCACGATTCATCTCCGATGCGATGGATGCTACGAACAAACTTTCTTATGACATACTGCAGGCAACAGATCTCCAGAACGTCGTGAAGGGCAACCCCACTATAGGATTTTCGCTGATCCTCCAGCTCACGGGTGTCCACGGGAGCCGCCAGTTCGACAGGCTAACCAAAACGAAGACGGTTGAGTCGATACTGACGTCAATGGACGAAGCCGGGATACAGAGTTACATTGATTACCTGCTCAAGCAGGTGCACGATGAGCCATCAGCTTCCGCAGAGTACGTACAGCAAATTTTCGTGCTCCCATCCCGTCCGAAAGCGAAAGCGCTGATCATCGGTATCTTTCCTTCCATCTGGCAACCACCGTGGCCACACAGCGCGGAGACAGACATCCAGGCCGTGAACACGCGTCGCGCGTGGGTGATCGACCAGCTTGCTGCGCTCGTCCGCAACGGGGCGATCCCCAAGAGCGATGCGTGGATCCAGACGATCCTCGACTGGCTGGCCGTCCACGGCCTGTTCATCATCGCGAAAAAGTCGGAGAAGAGCGCTATTTCCGCTGTGAGTACGGATCCAGAGCAGCCACGCCACGCCCCTCCCTGTGCCGCCCTCCTACGCCCAGGCAGTGTACCACCTGCCTCACCCAGCCGACGGGAGCGATCGTCCATATTTTGCTGCTTCTCTCTATCATCGCTGTCCCTGCGCGCTCGTGTGAGATCGCGATCGCTGACTCTGATCGTTTCTCTCCCCAGCTGCGCTCTGTTCCCAGTCCCGCTTTCTCGGAGGAGCTGCGGGGGAATTGCCGTGAGCGGTTGCTTGCGTGCTTGGCCGACCTGACGGTGCAAACGACTCTCATCAAAGGTGTGTTTCGACGGGTTTCTATGCGGTACTTTGCGGGGACGCGGAGGCTGATGATCTACGGGAGCAGAGGACACCAAGTCCTCCAAAGTTGCCGCGGTAGCGTCCGATGGGCGGTTCTGGGTATCGAGAGTGCTGTCGACCATCGCAGAGCTCGAGAAGGACGTGAAGCATGTCAAGCCGCTGTCCGAGGTGGACGAGGAGGAAGCGGAGCAGCGCCAGAAGGCTCGTGAAGTTCTGGCGCGCCTGAAGGACGTGAGTCTATGCGAACCCAATGCCGCAGCCCGCAAAGTGACATGTCCACGCTATAGGCGCCCGAAGACCGTCGGGAAGCCGCACGCGGCGTTGAGCTTCTACTTTCAGCGACGCTCTTGCACGCTTATGGCGCGGAGGTCGATGACGCCGACACAGAAGTCCTTGAGGTGAGCGCACGCTACGTCATCTTGACTCTCGGTGCCGGCACTGGCTCACACCGATCAAATCGCCTGCTCTTGCCGCTATCGTTCTTATTCACTAGAACTGCATCGACGGTGCCTCGCGGATGTTCCCGGTGGAGGCCAAGAAGGGCAAGAAAGGCCGCAAGTCCGCCGCTGCCGCTGGAGAAGACAAGGGAAAGGAGAAGGAGCAGCCCGAGCCGGTCGACGTGCTCGTCGACACCGTGATTGGATTCCTCGAGAAGGGCACGGCGTACGTGCGGGCCGTGGCGAATCAGGTCTTCGCCCTCCTGGCGGGCTCCGTGCAGGCGAGCACGATAGATCTTATCCTGACCGTGAGCATTGTTCCTGTGTTTTACACGCGGCTGCGTCTCCGCGGTGAACGTGTGTGCCCGTTGCCTATGCAGTTGCTTATCTGCATTCTTCGATGCATCTTATTCATAGCAATTGGAGCGCCGCGATCCGGATCAGCTCATGGCCGACGAGGATGCCAACATGGATGACGAGGAAGACGATGACGATGACGAGGAAGCCGGCTCATCGTCCTCGTCTTCACCTGAAGAAGAGGAGGAAGACGAGGAGAACGTTGACGAGGAGGCCGATATGGAGCTCAGGCGCAAGATCGAGGAAGCGCTGCGGGTGAACGGGATCTCAGCGGCGTCGGAAGACTCCGAGTCCGAATCGGAGGAAGAGCTGATGGACGATGACCAGATGCTCGCTATCGACGAGCAAATCGCCGCCGCATTCAAGGCGCGTGCCGCCGAGAAGCGACAAGGAAAAGGCAAGTACCCCTGGCGTCGAATCGTATGAGAGTTCGTTGCGCTATTACCCGCTGACACCTGGCTGCTTCGCCCCTTCCAGATGTTGATGCCCAGAGGGAGGCGACGCACTTCAAGAACCGCGTGTTGGACCTCATCGACATCTTCGTAAAGAAGCAGCCTACGAGCCCCTTGATCGTTCGTCTCATCTTCCCACTCGTGGAGCTCGTTGTCAGCACAGGCCCCGACGAGAAGCAGCTGTCCGACAAGGCTACCGGTATCCTCCGCAACCGAATCGGCAAGTCAAAAGAGGTTCCCCACGGCGTCTCAAAGGAGGATGCGACGAAGACCCTTGAGGAACTCCACAACCTCGCTAGGAAAGCCTCGACTCCAGACGTGCTTGCGACACTGAACCAGTGCAGTCTGTACCTGTCCAAGGTCTTGCTGCACGCCGATGACATTGAGCCTGTTTTGACCGCGTACCGAGAATCTCTACACGACTTTGTCGCTCGCAAGGCGTCGAAGCTCAGTACGGCGTTCTTTGATGACTTTGTCAGGAGGCATCCTCAAGCCGCGTGGAAGATGCGTGACGATCTTGTCAAGGCGTCCGGAGACGCCCTGAACGGCTACAGACAAGCACAAGTGTTCCGCCTTGTCCAGACGTTGGTCAACCAGCTGCAAGCTCTCGTAAGTCTCGCGGTTTCTCGCCCTTATTAGTTGTCTGACATTCATAAAAGGGTGACACGAAGTCAGAGGTTCTCGCGTTCATGCCGTCATTACGCAAGGGTATTCTCGACACCGTCTCGAAAGCATGCAGTGACGAGTCAACATCTCTTCAGCCTGCCCACGTGAAGGACATCCTCAAGCTCGCCCTCGGCGCCGTCCGCCAGACGAAGCGCTTTACTCAGAGCAGCGACGAGCTATCTACCATCTGGCGGCCGTCGAAGTGGACCGAGCTTTCCAACACGCTCGCCTCGAACGATCATTTTAAAGCGTCTGTCGGTCTTCAAGCGATGTGCAAGCAACTCGTTCAGCTTCTACAGGAAAGCGGTACAGCAGTGTCGAAAGCGAAAGCAGCGGACAAGGACAAAACGAACAGCAAGGAGAAAGTAGCGGTTGTATCAAAGCGGAAGGCATCAGATAGAGATGGGGATGAGGATGAGGGAGTCGCTGACGGGGGGAAGAAGGCGAGACACAAAAAGGCGCGGAAGGCCAAGTCTAGTTGACGCGTCGACGTTCATATTCATGTAGGCTGTCCGGTCGTGAGGGATTCTAGGAGATCGCGTAACTCCTCTAGAGCTGTTGAGTGAACGAGCGTGTTGAAGCCAGATTCGGCTACGCATCGCTGAATGAGCTGCCCGCACTTGCGTAGCCTGCAGACAGAGGCGTCAGATATGTTTGGATGAGCACGCAGAATAGACAAAGTTACTACTCACTTCGTCCGTCTAACGCGTTCCTCGATCATTTGTCTCATGTGCAACGCCTTACCTGCTGCGATCTTGAGAACCGATTCCGGCAGCCGCGCCAATCGTGCGCACTCGATGCCAAAGGACTCCGTGACGAGTCCGGACTCTAGTCGGTACAGAAACGTTACTTCTCTCGAACCATCGATCCGCGTTTCCTCGGTGAAGCCCATGTGCAGGTTCCCAACCTCGGCGGGGAACAAGCGTTCCAGATCTGCCGCAACTTGTGGATAGTGCGTGATGAAAAGCGTCTTGCACTTCACGTTCTGCGCGAGGTGATGGAGCACGGCGCTGGCGATGGCCATCTAAAGATAAGGGACGTCAGAGCTACCTATTCAGAGGCAAACGTGTGACAGCACTCACCCCGTCGAATGTAGACGTGCCTCGGCCAAGCTCATCTAGGACCACGAGCGTCCGAGGCGTAGCCGTCTGGATGATATCGCTCGTTTCCTGCATCTCCACCATGAACGTCGAGCGGCCCCTCGCGAGCTCATCCGACGCTCCCATTCTGGTGAGTACCCCGTCCAGAAGACTGAGCGTCATGGACTCTGCGGGGACGTACGAACCAACTTGTGCCATCTGCAGTCAGCTGTCAACATAACACGTCTTCTTCCACGACCTGAGTTCACACTCACGATGGCGCACAACGCAGTCATCCTCACGGCGGAACTCTTCCCGCCCATGTTCGGCCCGGTGATGATCTTATGCCTCGTCTCGCCCCCACCCATCTTCAGGCCGTTAGGGACGAACGGTTCCGCCCTCAGCGCCTCGATCATCGGGTGTCTTCCTTGCACGATCTCCAGCACGTCCTCCTCGCCCTCCTTCCGCTCCACCAACTTCGGGCGACAGTACCCTTCCTGCGCCGCGACCTGTGCGAGGCTGAAGAGGCAGTCCGCCACCGCGAGCTTGTTCACGGCGTCCCGAAGGAGCGCGTAATCCTTGTCGACTATCTCGGCCAGGAAAGAGAGGTACGCCCTGTGCGCCTCCAGCACGAGGGCCTCCTTGAACTGGGCGCGCTCCTGGAGCTTGGCGCGGACTTGTGGTGTGTGGTACCGCCGGAAGTACTTGGTGCTGGAGAGGAGCGTCCAGTTGGCGGGGATGTCGCGGCGCTCGTCTTTGCGAATCTCAACAACGTACTGGGGTGGGCAGTGTTGGCATCGTCGTGTAGAAACTAGGCCATGATGGGGCGTAACGTACCTCCTCCCCGTTCCAGTCGGTGTACTTGAGCGCGGGTTTCTGGACGACCTTCCGAATGTTCTTGAGCTCATCCATCAGCTCGGTCTCGACGATCTGGATTGACTATCGCATCGACCACTATCAGTCCGTGTGCTTCCGATACACAAAATGGGGCAAGCGGGCCAACCGTATTCAACTCCTCCAGCGCCGGAAACCTATCCCGGTTCGTCCACATCGAATGCTCGATCCCCTCAGACGCAGACTCGAACCTGACGGCCTCGCACAGCTCGTTCACCGGATCCCTCAGCTTCGGCAGCGCCTCCAAGACGTCCGCCAGCAGCCTCGACTTCAGCTGCGATCCCTGAGAGGCCTGGCTGGGGTGGGGCGCGAAGAACGCCGTCCCGGCCTTCTTGAACGCCTTGAGGAGCGTGACGAGCTCTTGCGGGGTGCACTTGCCGTACTGGATGCGGCAGAGGCCTCGCGCGAGGTCGGGCAGGCGGCGGAGGAGCTCGCGGAGCTGGGTCAGCTTGGGAGACTTATTGGCGAGGATCTCTTCGACCGCTTCGGTGCGCTCGCGAAGCGCGCTGGGGGAGCTATTAGGATCGCGCACGAAGGGGGGAGGGGCACAACGTACTGAGGGTCGACGAGCGGGCGGCCGACCCAGCTTCGCAGCATGCGCGCGCCGAACTTCGTCGATGTTCGGTCTAGCATCCACATCAACGAGCCTTTCGTACTGTAGTCTGTGTCATTACGGTATATCTCTCTGCCACAATGTCCATCAGCGGAGCACGATGATGACGCAGGTGGACATCGTACAGATTCGTGAGTGTGTTTGCATTGAGTAGCATGTGCGTCCGCTCCGTGAACTTCGCGAAGAACCGTGTCTCTCGCAGAGCATCCGCGACGTTGAACGTGATCAGGTATTTGAGCGACTGAGCGAGGGCTGCCACTACGAGCTTCGGAAAGCCTGTGACTGCTGCCATCAGGTCCCCTGCAGGAGTGTCAGACGAAATATGTTCGAACGATAGCACACGAATGGGTCTACCCTTGTTGAAGCTCTCCGATGCGTTCGCGTGCTTCTCGGTGTAGAATTTGGACAACGCTGCGAAAGCGTCTGTGTAAGCCAACTGCTTGTTGAATCGCTCTATACGCATGCGATGCTCCGTGTGCGAATGTCTAGATGGGGACCGTGAGCGCGATGATACGGATGGGCCAGATGAGATAGCGTACTCGGTAAAGTGCTTGATCATCTTCTCCGTCGCAGAGCTGAGATCCTTAATGGGTAGCAGAAGCTCGTACGGCTTCGTATGGACAAGTCTCGTCTGCGCGCAGCATGAGTCTTCACTCGACAATATTGACGTATCCGGCTTGCTAGCTCACCTCCAACTCGATGCGCATGTGATTGTCTGTTCACCCTCTCAGCGCGCACATCCGACACCATTCACAAAGGGGCTCACCCTCAAACTCGTCCCATACGACGTCTCCGGTACTGGGGGATATCGCGACCATAGCGACGTTCACGCGCTCGTCGGTACCCATCCCGCCTCGCGGTTCTTCCAATATACACATGAGCGGTGGTGCGGAGTTGGGGTCCAGCTCGTCGACCGTATTTAGGTCGTCTACATACCTGGAGGACGATAAGTGTCAAGGCACTGTTGCTGAGAGACCGACAGGGACGTACGTAGCAGCTGTATAGAGGTGTGTGACTTCGCGAGCGAAGAGCTCGTTGCGGCTGTCGCCGATTTTCTTGAGGGCCGCGGTCTCGGTCTGTTCGACAATTCCAACTTTGTAGCCTTGAGATAGCAACCTGCAAGATACGACTGTTGGATTATTCTCTCCTGATATCTTGCGGAGTAACGCATACTTCTTGAGATGAACGTCTCGCCTGTGCAAAGGGATCATCGCCGTCAAGAGGTTGCGTTTCGGGAAGCAAACCATGCCCAACTCCTTGGAAGCGATCTGCAAGCACAATGTTTTTTATCCAGCCGTTCGTTCCGGTGTGGAGAAGACGAACCTTAGCGTCATCCTCGAAGAAAAGCATCTTGTACCCAGACTGAATCATGAGGACAGTACCGGGATGCTTCGCCTTCAAATCTCGCACCTGGAAGACATGAACAGAACGCTAGGAATGAAGGACATGAAGTGGATGCGTACTTGAAGTTCAAACGGAGTATACGCCTGGCCACTCGGGCCAATCTCATCCACCTTCTGAGTTCTTGACCGACTTGGTCCAGCCACGGGTGCAGCCTTCTTGGCCGCACCCTTGCCTTTTCTCGCCTTCGAGTTGGAGCTGGAAAACATTTCCATGAGCTCACCAAACATCTTTTCCGCCTCGTCGCCCTCATCGGCAGACCGCTCTTCGTCATGTTCTGCGGGGCCATCCCCGTCCGGCGCTGGCGTGGCTGCTCCGGAACTCGAGCGGTGTGCGAACACATTATCCCTTCCAAGCAGTATCTTCTTGGCTCTTTCATGCGCGCTACGCTGCTTCTCGCCCTCTACGGGTTGTAAAGCCTTGCTGTGAGAGGCAGGGTCAAAACGCCATTGCTCAGCGTGTCCGCCCCTTCGGAGTGGCTGGGTGGCTGATTTCGGCGAGGGCGGGACACTCTTTCTGGGAGTAAAGAACGCGCTGGTGGTCTTCTGTCGCTTAGGCGGAGGTGACTGCCCCCCGTTGTCGGAGTCAAGTGTAAGGTCGATAGGAGTGTTCCCCCTCTTGGTGCGCCGGGGGGACGCTGAGCTGGAGCTCCGGGAGAAGAACGACGAAATGGTAGGCTGTGCTGCCTGCGACGATGTAGAACGTTTCTTCGACATATAACCAAGGCGTCGAAGAGGGGACAAAGGAAGAGATATAGGAAGGCAAGGATTGGACGAACCTAGGTAACAGAGGTAGACAGGAGACTTCTGCTCCCGTGACTGCTTGCACAGGGGCGCCTCAGACGCGATCGGCGAGTCACGCGTCTGTCACGCGTCTGTCACACCCCTCGCCCAGGCCCATGGGCCCGGCGGTCGGCTGCGACCTTGACCAGCACCGTCATGGTAGGGAGGTTCGTATAATCGTTCCCTCAAGTCGACATCTACATGACCAGGTCGCCTACGGGGTCTACCCTCTTGTTTGCTGCTATCGATCTCTCGGGTAGACTCCTAGTCGTCCGCCACGGTGTTTCACGTCCAAGTCACGGTATTTGGGGCATCCGCCGTCCCGACCCGACATACTGAAAAAGCTCGCCAGCGACCCCGAAACTCATTCCAATGCCCGTCGATTACCCGGAGGGTCACGCTCGACGCTCGGACGACACACAGCATCGGCACCTAACACCTGACGACCAGCTGCTGCATCCGCCCCCTTTCCAAGATTGGGGACAACTGTACCTACGATGGTCTGCGAGGCATGCACAACCACCCATTGGTGAGCAGGGTGCGCTCTACCGTCTATGCCCTCTGCGTCCCCAGGCTTCTGCGATGAGAAGCCATCACGTCGCCTGCATTTTGTTTAGTGACTCTCGCAAGAGGCGAGCGCAACACTCCACCTGGTGCTTTGTGTCGTTTATACAATTGGTTGCCTCCCCCCTGCCGCGGTGGAGCGAGAGCTGACGCAGACGTACTGCAGAAGGTCGTCCAACCAAGGGCCGCCCTTGGAGGCCTTCCGTCGAGCTTATGCTTGAAACCGGTCCAGAATTACTTGGGTCACGTCGAGCGACCGGTGAGCGAGCTGTACGTGCTACCTTCTGCCTCGCTATACGATGGCCAAGTCGCCAGAAACCGCGGGCGAAGTTCAGCGCAGCTAGCCTACCCGCCTCAATACAGCGCATAGCCGGCCGACACTTAAGCTCATTTCATCTGGCAGTACGGCTTTCCGGACTCGCAGGTGATTGCGTGGATGCGTATCGTCCCTCCGGGAAACGCAGTCAGGCTGCAACAGCAGTACATGTACGTCAAGCAGCCAGACCGATGCAGCGGGCCGTGGTTATTGAGATGCACAAGCTGCAGCTGACGGCCGTCTTCACATCGACGACGACCTCCGCTACACTCCTCCCGCCGGTCCCTTCCATAATCAAAGTCCGCAGCGGCTGCCGCCATGGCGCCCGCCTTGGCCTCCTCCTCAGGAAAGCCTCGTCAAACTCCGGCCGCAAAAGCGAGCAGGGTCAGACTTGGACATAGGAGGGAGCCGACGTGTTCCCTGTCCCCGGCGCGGTGCCTGGCTCGGTACGGGCAACGATGGCGCAGCACGTATCGGCGCGCGTATAGCACTGCGGAGCAGCGACTATCTCGCGTCACTCGTTCCGCTCTGTGGCAATGTGCGAAGAAGGGCAGCATCGTGATCGGGGCAAAAGACTAACGCACAGGTTCAAACAAGATCGCGAGTTTGCGCAGGAGACCAAACGTGGGATGACAACAAAAGCTTCTCTCCCCTGCTATGCGCGCAGCGACACGCCCGTCGAAGCCTAGGCGTGAATCGCCGACTCCGCCACGGCGCCCCATCCTCGTCGGCGATTGCGTGAATCAGAACGTTATTGGCTCTGTCCAGACACCTCGCGGGCTTGCCGCAGCAGCCATGGGTAGCTGGGTCGCAATCAACGCTTCCTAGGCCGTCACCCCTGTATCGTGACCGGGACGACCGAAGTCGCTCAGGGTGCTCTGGCAGCGAAGCAGCATTGGAGCCCTCTTCAACCTGCCTCATCCGTCAGGTGGATGCCCTCTCGCTGAAGACCCTTGACCCTGAAGAAGAGACTGACTTCGTTGTGCGGACACAGGAATAGGCGCCTTCTATCAATAATAGTACTCATGCCATCGAACTCTGCCCCGGCGACTTCTCAGTAGGAACGATGGAATCCCATTCTTACTGGACTCTCAATGAATAAAGTAAGGCACATCTGACGCTCATGGAAGGCAAACGTCTCCGAGGCCGGACGTCCGCCACGGACGCTGTCCCTCTACGCGCCGTTCCTCCGACGGTGTCTTCAGTGGACATTCCGTCCCGATGACATATTCTCTTCCTTGCGATAATCATCATCCTCATTGTGGTCTCTCAGAAGTATCATTCCGCTTGCTGTCCGAGCATGGACAGGGGAACAGCCCACGCTTGCTACTGAATATCTTTGCAGCCTCTTCGTGCGCCTATATCAGTAGGGAGCTCAGTAACTGCTGGAGAAGATCCATCTTGTGAGGAAGAACGCATGTCTAGCTTGCACGTTCATCAACTTCTGCCCGAGTACTGTTGTTTCGTATATTGTCGCTCGTGGACTCGCGTGTCTATCAGAACGTGTCTTGAGACGACTTCTCGGTCAGCTTCAGTGTCGATGTCCCCTACATAGCTCATCAGTTGACGAATGCAGCAGATGGAGGCCTTCTTATCACAGCAACGTTTCCACAGTAATGCCGTGGCTGAGGGGGGGCGTTTGGCCTCAGGGGCACGCACGTTGTATTGAGTTGAGACCGCAGGATCATATGCTCGTGTGCTCACAGCGGCATGCATGTCGATAAGGAATATAAGTACAGTCGACACCCTCCTAACCCATACCCCTGGTAACCCATAAACTCTAAAAACCCATAGGATTTTGGCTTTCCCAAGTCGGGATAGGGGGAATTCGACCCCATAACCCATAGGTCCCCAGTACCCCATAACCCATAGCCTTCTAGGGCTCAAAACCCATACGGTAATAGTGGTCACATTGAGATTTCGCTCATCAATAACCCACAAAGTACTCGATACATGCTTCCTTGTGTCCTCCCAGCATCCATCCATGCTTCAACCACATTGTGGGTAGCTTAGTGTGTTCGAAATCCCATAGCGCTCCTCGAAGGGTCAGTAGACGCCTGTTCAGCGCTCGCTAACTGGGACTTATCAGGGCGCTTAGAAGGCGCTAAAGTTCTGGTAGCCCATAACCCCTCAAAACCCATATATTTGGGCCTGTCCCGAGGGCTATGGGTCAAGAGGGTGTCGACTGTACCGCGGACAACGCGTTCCGCCCGAGCCCAGCGCTCCGGACGTGATGACAGGCCCGCCCAGACGCTCTGTAGTGTGACGTAGTGACTCCTTGTTACCGGCCTGTGACGACTTCCACCAAACTCTAGTTGCCCCTGCCCTGCCCAGGCCTCTTTGTAATCGTCCTCGATGGGTCTTGAACGTAGTTAACACCTATCAACGATCCCAAACGCACTTCTGTGTCCAACATGTAGGTCTGAGGCGGTTATGTGACGAAGTAACTTTATGGGCTCCCCGGCTTTCTCAGCTCCGGGAGCCCGGCAAAGCGGTACGCGCAAACGCGATTCCCGTGTCAACGTACAGGTCGCGTAAAGAGATTAGGAGATATCTGCAATAATCCAACAATGTTCACAGCGATGATATCCCGTGCCACTCCATTACAAGAACGGCGACCACTGCCCTCCGATTTGAAGGAGAGAAGATGAGGGCATTTACAACTAAGTAGGTCCTCTTGTGCGCCCTCTGTAATCTCCTTATTGAACAGTGTTGCTCCGCCATCTTCTCTCCTTGTTTGAGGCACCTAGGCTGCATATTACAGCCGCCTCTATGAGTAATAACCGATTCGTACTAGTGCTTCGATTTTAGGCCGTCTGAAGCCTTATCGCCGTGTCATCTTGAATGATACGAGGAGAGCTCTGTGGCGACATTCCATCGCGCCCCGATCCCCATCAACAATCCCAACTAGAGCCATCGGAAGTGACGACTGCCTAGTAAGGTATGACCGTATGAGGGCCGTCACGGCCGTGTTGCGCTCAGGAATGGCAAGAAGTTTTTCCAATGCGGAGCACGCGTGTCCGGCCGCCCTTCATGCAATACCGGATGTCCATGATCGCAGCGGTATTCGACAAAGAAACGCTTCTTGTATTAGAGACCCACTCCGACATCGTAATCGTGAGTGCATATGATATGTAGTATTTTCTTACGCACACCCTTGCGCTCTCCTTGATGGCATCTACACAAGCAGGTACAGGTCCGACCAGCTGGTATCACAAATCAGACCTCATACTCAGGCGAACAGCCACTGCCTGATTTTGCTCTTGGAAAATATAAGTATGCCACCCGCGTTCGTGCCAAGTAGTCCTGCCATACCGCAGACACCATGCTATCGTCGCAGGCCGCCTCCTTCCGACTTCCAGACACGCTCGCTGCCTGGCCGTGGCCTCGTCGTATCAACCCTCACTATGCAGAAGTAAAGGAGGCTTCTGCCGCATGGTTGGAGTCTTTCCATGCCTTCGGTCCCAAAGCCCAAAGGGCTTTCAATCTTTGCGACTTCAGTAAGCAACCGTTCCATGTCCTTGCCGCGTCACTTCGTCAGCTTACCCCCCTATGCTCTGTTATAGACCTTTTGGCCTCGCTTGCCTATCCTGTTGCTAGCAAAGGTCGACCCTGCCACATTTGTATTTCCGCATCACGCTGACATAGCCTCACAGAGCAACTCCGCACTGGCTGCGACCTCATGAACGTCTTTTTCGTGTTTGACGAGTATTCCGACGTTGCCGACGAGAAGACCGTTCAGGGCCTCGCTGATATTATCATGGATGCTCTTCGTAATCCTTTCGCGCCCCGTCCAGTCGGAGAGAATGTTTTGGGGGAGATCACGAGGCAGTATGTGTTCAAGCGGTGAAATCGGCGCCCTCAGATCCGCTCACGATGAATCTGCAGATTCTGGGAACGGGCGATCCAAACGGCGAGCCCCGCATCGCAGCGACGTTTTATCGCGACCTTCGACACCTACTGCCAGTCAGTCGTGCAGCAGGCAGCGGACCGCGATGTACAGCATGTGCGGACCATAGACAGCTACTTCGAGAATAGGCGCGAGAACATTGGCGCGAGACCGTCGTTCGCCCTCCTCGAGCTCGACATGGACCTGCCTGACGAGGTGATGGAGCACCCGGCGATCGTCGATCTGACCACGTGGGTCATTGATATGCTGATCCTAGGCAACGTGCGTGCGCCATATGACTACTGTCGTCTGTGATCGACCGCTAATGATGACGTCTAGGATATATGCTCATATAACGTGGAACAAGCACGAGGGGACGATGCGCACAACATCGTTACTGTCGTCATGAACGAGCTCGGTACGGACCTGCATGGGGCGATGGAATGGGTCGCGGAACGGCATCGCATTCTCGTTGATCAGTTCCTGGAGCGCTTCGGACGGCTTCCTTCGTGGGGTCCAGAGATCGACGCTCAGGTTGCGCGCTACGTCGATGGGTTGGGCAATTGGGTCCGCGCGAACGACTCGTGGAGTTTCGAGAGTCAGCGGTACTTCGGGCTGGACGGGTTGGAGATCGAAGAAAGCCGGTGGGTGCCGTTGCTGCGGAAGGTCTCCCCGCCGAAGCTTGTGGGGGCCAAGAAGGAACTCGTATACTCCGATTTTGGAGTGCGAACCTTCATGCTCGTGTCCACTTGCTTGTTCATCGTCGCTATAAGTGTCTGAATCATCCACACCACTCTCTTTTTGTGTCTTTTTGTATCTTTGCTTACCCACGCCCCTCATTTTGTATCTTTCAATTATTCACACCAGTCGTTGTATGTCTGATTTACTCACAACAATCTGTGTATATATACGCATATATAGAAGCGGACCATACGCGGGTTATACTTAAGTTACTATTAGTTGCCTCTCTACGACTGTGCAAGAGTCCGGCGCTTGGTAGACCCGGTGTGTGCGATGGGTATACAATGCTATACTCTAATCGAATTCGCGGCGCCTCGAGTCGACTCAAGAAGAAGCGCACTGTCCAGAGGTGGCCGTGTGAGAAGGAATGGTTCCGCCTGAGAACGGAAGCTGCAAGACAAGGGAGCCACCGTTGATGACTGTGTGATGCCCCAGGTCGGACGTAGAAGCGCTATCCACAGCGATGTACAGTTGACCGGGCTTGACCGACAGGGTCTCGCTGGGGTCCGCAGGGAACGTGATCGTCCCGCCGCCCCCGATGATGAAGAAGTATCTAGCGCAAGCACAACAGTCAGATCGGGACTAGAAGATGCGAGACAATTTGCAGCGTACTGGAGATTCGGCGCCGTGTGCGTTCTGATAGGGCAAGTCAGCGGGAAACCAGACGATGATGGAAGTTTAGGGGCGTACCCAGAGTCGAATGGGTCAGGTCCCGGGAAGTATGAGTAGCTCGCGCTATCTATGGAGCCTAGTTGTTCGACGGAGGCCTGTAAAGAAGACAGCGATCAGCCAACCCATTTGATAGAGCTTCTAGAAGTACCGAGTGGACTCACGGACGAAGTAATGGAGATGTCGGTGGTCAAGGTCCAACACTCGACCGTGGAGTTTCCGTTGACGCCCACAATGGCATTGACTTGAGTGATGTCCGTAGCCCGTGCAACACCCGCAGAGGTGATGGCGGTGAGCAACAGTCCGTAGAACAGAGACGTCAGGGCCATGGTGAGCGAGTATGGGTCCTTCTCGTTTCACCGGTCGTGCTTATAATAGTGCTCAAATCCTGGCGCCAGACCGAGTTGTAAGTATAGCGAAGGCATCCATATTGCAAGGATGTTATCGACATTGCCTGGCGGGCCGCTCTGTCGGCATTGGACGCAGCACCTTCGTTGCTATGGATTCGAGACTATTGGCAAGTCCAAAATCATATGACAGGGGCGGGTGTCATACCTTTTCGGGTGAACCGCAACGAGAATTGGGTAAACCGCAGCGAGAACCAGCGTTCGCTGGAAGGGGCTGATCAAAAACGCGCATCTTGGGAGAATCCCGACGTTGGCAGGAATGGAAGTGTTGGTCAATACTACCATGTCAGGCGAACACACGCCATCACTGTGATACTTCCACGAGTTTGTGGAGCTCATCTCAGGCCCGCAGACCTGGAGGGAGACGTAGTCCCTACCATGATAGCAATCTGAACGGTGATGCGATGGTGTATGTATTGTGCAATATGCGCTAATCCATCACAAGAGCACGAACAGCCGAACAGGAGACTCTTTTCGCAAGCGGTTCAGAAACAGACCAAATCTTGGTCGTCTCTAAAACAGTGTGTGCTACGTCGTCAAGCGTGGTGGTCGACGCTGCGGGGCGCCAGTGCTCTGCACTGTTGGCGTTGAACTTCGACCTGGAGCCCTTACAGATTGCACAACCCACTGATCCTGAACCATCTGCGAAAAGAGTCTTCTGACGGGCCAGCGAATGATAATCAAGGACCATCCGGTCCTGGATTGAGCTCGCTTGTGATGAAGCCCCGTCCTCACCGCGGTGATACGCCGATGCTCTGATGGGTCTGCACTGTCGGTAGCTACAGTATGTTGACTCGACTTTGATGACTTCGTGTCCGGTGCTTCTCGGAATCGTTGACGTCCCGATGCACACGAAAATAAACCTAGGTACGTTACGGAAGATTGTGGGCTTCTGAAACCTGCGAGGCTCGTAGATATGCCGAAATTGTTGGATGTCCCTGTTGGCGGGTATCTCGGTGTATCAGCGCTGTCCTAGAGAATCCGCAGGTCGCCAACGCATTGTCAGGGCAGATATGTCAAGTTTCAACTGGGAGCTTCCCGGCGGGCTACTGTATACCGATATCCTGTGGACCATCGCCATCGCGTGGACGGAGTTCGAAGCAGAGAGGGTCGGGAGCAATGCCTTGATCACCGATCCGATTGCAAATGATCAAGGAGAACTGTGCAAGGCTCTCAGCAAGACATCTTCTGATGTAAGCAATCCGAAGCTGATTTGCTCTACTACGCCACTACCGGCGGCTATCTATAAGAAGGATTACCATTCAGGGTTTAGCCATCTCGTAACGGCTGCTAACAATCCCCCACTACGCGGGCGAACGGCGCAACCTTAAGTCCGTATCAGCAGTTAACCCCATATATTCAACAGAAGACGTCCCTAACGCAATCAGACGTTCTTTTGGCTACGACCACTTGAAGGAGCATGTTTACGTAATAAATCATGTCAGTACACAAATGAGCGACGATAAATAAATAATACATCAAAGATGCGTCCTACAACATGGTGTACAAAGGCGGCTTTAAGCCGTACTCCTCCTATAGACGGACAAGAGACCCGATGAGCAGTGTCGACAGTCTCAGACCGCGGCACCGCCGTACTTGAGATCCCCGGAATGCATAGACGAGAGCGGGTACTCATCCACCATGGTGTCACTATCGTGCACCTTGGACACACTAATCTGCACCTGGCGAGGGGCAAAGGTCATCGGACCGCCAGGGATCGTCGACTGGGCAGTTCCCAGCGCCGTAGTGGACTCTCCTCTGCGGCCGCCGAATGTCGATCCGTGCGTCAATCCCAGCCCAACACGGACGATGATCAGCAGCGGGGTGATCGTCTTGGGGATACCCATCAGCGATCGTGGCGCATGAACCGTGTGGGAAGGGGGGACTTACCGCAAGCTGCGTAATACTGTCAATCGCGACGACTGTCGCGATGTTCCCGCTGAGGTAAAGGCTGACGGTGACCAGGGTCGCGGTAGCGAAGAGACCACCGGACTCGATGATGGTGAAGATGACCTTGTTGTACTTGTTCCCCCTTGATCCGACACCAGTCCCAGAGGACACATAATCGGAGACGGTGCGGCCCATGTACCAGAGTCGCGCAGCGATGGCGAGCGTGACGCCGATGTTGAGCGCCAAGTCGAAGGTCCAGTCCACGATGCCCATCTTGTGGATGAGAGGGTCGAAAATCGGGACGCCAGGCTGCCCGCCTCTGACCATGGCCGTGATAGAAGCGGCTGCAGGCGATCGTCAGCCACGGGAACGGGACATCGGGAGTAACCAATGAAACTTACCCAAGCGCACGAGCTCGAGGATAAGCTGTTGGGGACGTGAGTCTCGAAGTACGGAATGGAATTCGGTGCAACATACCGGTAGAATAACCACGTAGAACCTTCGTCCGAATAGGGTCCACAGCCGCCAGATAAGGATGAGATCTTGAAGGAAAACCTGCATGTGGCGATGAGATTCGCCGGAGTCCATCGCGTCGATCCAGAATCACGTACGTTGACGGTGTACAAGCCAAGCTTGGACTGGGCAAGCCGAGAAGACTCGTTCGCGAAATACAGAGTAGCGGTGCCAGGCGGCGAGTAAATAAATGCCTCGAGTAGTTGGCGAAGCGTTACGGCGATATAGGCCGTAGAGAGCATGAATGCCAGCGTAGATACTGAGATCAAAAGGCTGCAAACAAGCACCTTGTGAGCGACGCAGTTGCAGGCGAGGATGAGAGATAGACCCTACTGGGAGCTCGACTTCGTCGTTCCGCCAATCCGCCCTACCAGAACGTATATCGCACTGCCATAGACCAAAATACTACTCTAGGTTAGATAAAGACTGGATCGCGCTTGGAGGACTCGACGTACTTGATGCCTATCGTTAGAATAGCTGTCAGCAGCGCGAACATGGATTGTTCAAGAGAAACTTACCATAGAGCACCGTCTCCACCCAGATCCCGATAAGAAACATCTTATCTAGAGGCGGGAGGTGGGGGATGACGGCAGCCGCACCCGAAGCAGCAGAGGCTGAGGCAGACGACATGGCGCTCGGCGTATGCAGGAAGCAAGACTTGGGACGGGGATGGACTCAGGTGCCCAAGAATGCCGGGGGGGTAATAAGAGCGTCAAAGAAGAATCAAGACAAAATCGGGCTAGAAATGTTCCGACGCCCATGCAGGCAAGGTCCATTCAGTCAGACGATCTGATGCCGAGATCCAGAACACCTGGATTGGCATACTATCCCTCAAGGGGTTCTGCAACGCCAGGAATGATGGCACCTGCCTCTCCAGCAACAGTGATCTATGTATTCCACAAACTTCAGGCATTGTTGAGACTGACATCTATCATATGTCCTCCAATTTTCGTAAGATTCTGTGGAGCTGAACGCGAGCTATGGGGATGCCATGTTCCGAGCACCTACATGAAAGGGGTTTTGCAAAACCCATAAGCGCCTGAAAGAAACGGCTTCCCTAGGATGTCTACCCATCCTCGGAGCTATCGGGGGTGATTTTTGTATTCAAAATACACCCAGACATTCATCCAGAAAGATATTTGAGCTTTCACAGCGAGAGACAAAGAGAGAACTGTATATCAAGTTGGGCGTCAACTCGCTTAGAGGTGTAACTAAATGTCTCCTGCTCGCAAAGGCGTCCTCCGGCTCATTTGGCTCCAAAAAGTTGCCAGATGATATCAAAATGGGTGTAGTATTATGTGTTTGAAATATCAGAGCGATGCATGAGGAGGGGAGGGAGAGCTTGGGGTTTTGCAAAACTCGCAGATTTTGCAAAACCCCTTGAGGGATAGTACAATGTTGGATGTTCCTTGATGATTCCCTCCCATCGTCTCCAGAGTTGCATCTGATACAATGATGGAGCCAGGCCCCCTCGTAGTCGTCAAAAGCGAATAGTTCTCGAGCTGGCCATCTCTGAGGCAGTATCGAGTGTGGCGCTCCACAGATAGGCAGCGCGCGTGCGGTACGGGTCGGGGATTGTGTTCATCGTTGTCGATATCGCGCTAGACGACGAGTGGGCGGCGAGCGGCGCTTATCCTTAGCGTGAGAATGTTGCAGATCATCATCCGAGGGTGCTGCTAACAGTGCCCTCTCATCAACGTGCATGACCACGTCGACCGCGTGGCACATAGGCACCTGCTCCTTTCCTCTTCTACTGAGTATCAGCCAAATCCTCATTGAAGCTGATCCGGAGTAGCTATCGCTGCAACTTCTGGGTGCCATCAAGCGACGCGCACAATGCTGCGTCAGCGAGGATAGCCGACACCGCCGGGGGAATCACACATTGGCCCGCAGCTACACCGAAATCGCAGGTAGGGTGACAGCGGCGGAGCTTCGACAATACAGACTTGGTCCCTGTTCACATACCACGAACGTATTCCCGCAGCTCAGCGCTCGGCACTCACCCAGGTGATGAGCTGCTGGCGCACCGTAAGGCTGGTCTGGAGGTGGACTGCTCAGGGCTGCTGAGCGGTCGACTTTGCTTCGACTCGGGCTCGGGCGGGACCGATGCCGACAAAGCGTCTTTGGAGGTTGATCGAAGTCTGTAAGTCACTGCTTCCTTCCGTCATCGGAGGCTTCTGCTGTGGCGTTTGGGCTCAGCGAGTCGCTTCTCTAGCATGCCTCGAACAGCAGCACCGACACCGCTCGTTCATTCATCTAAGAATATACAGAAAGATGCGTCTCGCACCGGCCAACCTGTCAGGCCAAGTCGGGCACGCAGGTTGACTAGGACCGTCTCTCACCCTGGGCCCCAATCCCTCCCCTAGCTGCTCCCCTGCGAGTACTCAGGTTCACCACACGCTCACTCACACATGTCGGACTCCCGCCACGAAGTCCCCAGAATCGGGACCATCACTCCAGAATCATACAAACAGGGCGACGCCTCAGAGGTGCCAGTCTTGGAGGCAAAAGAGCTTGTACACGAACTTGCGTCCGTCCAGCCAGCGGGAACAACCGTTGAGCCAGCCGAGGCCAGGCCACAAGTCGCTAAGCGAGGCGCGCGATTTTGGCTCATATTCCTGGCCTTGAGCTTTGCGCTCTTCTTGTCCCCCTTAGAGCTGGTGCGTCGTCTAGAGTCCTAAGGCGGTCCAGCTCTGACCGTCGTTGCCACAGACCTCAGTTTCGACGGCGTTGCCTACCATTCTCCTCGACCTAAACAATGGCGAAGACTTCATCTGGATCTCGTCGGCGTATACTCTGGCGTCTACCGCTATTCTACCGCTGAGTGGCGCACTGGCTGAAGTGCGGCAATAGCTTCTCGGTCCGAGACGTTGCGTAGCTAACTCTCCACTCCACCTAGATCTTCGGCCGGCGTCCTTCCATGCTTCTCGCTCTCGTCCTGTTTGCCCTGGGCAGTGCTCTCTGTGGATCAGCGCAGACGGTCCCATGGCTGATCGGCGGTCGGAGTAAGCAGGCTTAGCGCTTGCTACAGACGCGAGGCTGATATGTTTTGATTCCAGCTGTTCAAGGGATGGGCGGCGGTTGCATCTTGTCCATTACCAACATCGTCATCTCCGATCTCGTGCCGTTGAAGGAACGCGGGTTCGTCAGTGGAGTCCTGGGATTGTAAGCGATCCGAAGCGCTCTCGCATTGTATTGACTCGGCTGAACTCTGGTAAGGGTATGGGCATTGGCGGCAGCCTTAGGGCCGCTCATCGGCGGTGCGGTGTCGTCCCACGGGCAATGGCGTTGGTTGTTCTGTGAGTCGTATGACGAGCTAGTTGACGTTTCACAATTGGGCTGAGCGCCGTTTCAGACCTGAATCTACCCGTATGCGGGCTGGCGTTCATACTCGTCCTTACGCTGCTCAACCTTAAGAATCCGCCCGGGACTTTCCTTGAGAAGCTTGCCAAGATCGATTGGATGTGCGCCTGATTCATTTTCTGTAGACGTCTCAAGCTGACGTCGGTACAGAGGAAACTTCCTGATCATCGCGAGTTCGAGCTCTTGCATCATCGCACTGACATGGGGAGGCGTCGTATATCCTTGGTCTTCAGCCAGGGTGCTTGTCCCGTTGTTGGTAGGGTTAGGGGGTATGGGGCTCTTTTTGCTGTACGAAGCGCGGATAGCACGGCATCCCATGGTACGTAGCCTTGATTTCACAACAAGACATCTCTGACAAGAAGTGTTCAGGTGCCCTTCATTATACTGTCCAATTGGACGAGTTTCAGCGGGTAGGAACATCTACCCGTCGCTGATGCACCTAAAGACCTGACGTTCCTCCCTTAGCTACCTGCAGACGTTCATCAACCCTATCGTCATGCTCTCCGTTATCTGTAAGCCCCAACGAGGTTCCGTCTTCAAACTTTGCTCCGTGCTCATGTCTTCTCAGATTACCTGCCAACGTACTTCCAAGCGTGCAAAGGCGCATCTCCTCTGATTTCCGGCGTAGACACGTTTGGCCTTTCGATGGTCCTTGGGCCGATCGTCATCCTGACGGGAGTTAGCGTGACAAAGTGGAGTCGCTATCGAACACAATCCTATGTGGGCTGGGCGTTCTTGATTCTGGCTATGGGACTACTTTCCATGGTTTCTGCCGACACCCCTCTCGCACGCACCATCGGGTTCTCCGTCTTGGTCAGCGTCGGCGGGGGGATCGTGTACGCGATTACGTACTTCCCCGTCCTCGCCCCGCTCCCCGTAGACAAGAACGCGCACGCGCTGGCGTTCTTCGCCTTTTGTCGGTCGTTCGCCGGGGTGAGTTGCACGCATGTTCTCTGACCCGTGCTAGACTTGACGAGACTTCGACAGGTGTGGGGTGTGACTATCAGCGGCACGATCCTGCAGAACGAGCTCAACAAGAGGCTCCCTGTTGCGTTCCTCAACATGTACCCCGGCGGCGCGTCCATCGCGTACTCTGCTATCCCCGACATTAGCGGTCTGCAGGAGCCTTTGAGATCGCAGGTGCGGGACGCGTTCGCGGGCAGCATTGCCGTCATCTGGCAGGTGATGATCGGTATTGCGGGAGCGGGCTTGCTCTCGTCTCTCGCTATGAAGAACGTGCAGATGGGCTCAAAGGTAGACGAGAAATGGGGCTTGGAGAAGGGTGAGAAGTCGTCTCCTACTAGCAAGGCGTAGGCTTTTGGCACTGAATCGCAGGCTTCCGGATTCCGGACATCGTAATGCTATGTATCTTGTTCCTCTCGGTCCGAGACCGCATTTGTAGCTTTGTTTACTGTCATTACACACTGGCACTTCGAGTATGTAGCCGTCTTCACTGTCTTCGACACTGACACTTCGAGTATGTATTTTGGCCATCCTGTAAAGTAACCGACTCTCCTTTGGTGTTGCATCGTATTGTGACCATATTTGGCGCTTGACGAGACGTAACCAGGACTCCATCCCAGTCACATTGCTTGGTCAAAGGGAGATAGGTGGGCGGCGCTGTTTGATAGCTGACATCAACGGGCTGAGCATTTTCCAGGGCGTCCAAGTTCGCGTCGCCGCCGTGCGCCACGGGTCTAGCTCGTAGCACGGCCTCTTCCCTTACCCCGCCGCCGGAGACATGCGCTAGTTCTGATGAGTCGAGAAGCGTGCGTCATCAATGGGGCTGAACCCCAATCGCAGCACCCAGAAAGTGGTTAAGATCTGCCCATCACGACTGTGATTGAGAAGTATGATTGGCCCGATCTGTAGGAGCATACGAAGAGATGGCCCAGGTACCGTCCGAACACCATGGACCTTCCAAAGAGCACCCGCCCAAGGCAAGGCCCGCTAAACCAACGGGCGCATCACCAGGATCTACAGTGCCATGTACCGTAAGTAAGCCCCCCATGCTCCCTTACACCGTATCGTCCTCAGATGCGATCGGAACGCACATGCCACAGTCGGCTTCTCACACGGCGGGCGGAACAGGAAGGTCCAGGTGAGGAAATGTTTGCGACACTTCCGCGCCACGCAACGTACCAAAGCATTCCTAGGAAACAAAGAGATCTTCGATGACCAGTGGGATTCGCTATCGACAAGCTGCGTGGCCCAACAATTCGGCAAAACTTCCCTGCTTGAACTATACCCATTTGCCCGGCGTGTCATGCTGTGAGCTTTCCTGCCCCTTACGATCAGTGTCACGAAGTTCCGAGATAGGACTGTTTTGCGCATGGTTGAAGCGGTGTATCATATCGGAAGTTCTGCGAGGGCTGCAATGATGTTAGACATAACTGATGCCAAGGCTATACATATGTCGTACGTACCTCTGCTCCCCAGGTTGCTTCGTCGCCGACTGACCCGCGTTGTACTCCCGCTATATACGGTCGTCGCTCCCGTCGCTCCTTTGCATCGCCAAGCCGAATCCCTGCTATGGCCAGTTACCTGCCCACCACTCTCTCTTCCCTGCCCCACCTCGTGCCCTCCACTTTGGTGGGGCGGCTCGCGCTGGTCATATGCGGTCTCGCAGTGTTCGCGGTGCTGCGCCGTCGGTCCCCGTCGAACCTGAAGTACCCTCCTGGACCCCGTGGCCTTCCCCTCATTGGCAACCTTCACCAACTCACTCCCGATGCTTGGTTCCAGTTCGCGGATTATAAGGAGGTTTACGGTACGTTGGACGAGGCTCTGATACCAGCTTCGGCACTCCAAGCTCAACTTGTTGCGGACAGGTCCTATCGTGTACCTCAACCTTGCTGGACAGAATGTCGTCGTTTTGAACACCCTGAAGGTGGCAGCCGACTTGCTAGACAGGAGGGCTGCGATATATTCCTCCCGCCCGAAGTTCATCGTCGCGCGCACGCTGCTGACGGAAGGGCTCTTCTTCGTCTTCCAAGGCTATAGCGACTTGTATGCCATCTCATTTGATGTGACGTCGAATGATCTGTTCACCTCTGGCACACAGGTGGCGGCGGATGCGTCGTGCTGCCCACGAGGCTCTACACCGTGGTGTTGTGCACGACTACCATCCGACCCAGACCCTCGAGGCAACGATTCTCCTCAAAGACATGCTCACCGCCCCGAACGATTGGGAAGACCATCTTGAGAGGTGAGAGTTACGGCTTGCGTATATCGGGTTGCGCTCGTTCTAAAAAACATCGCAGAATGGCCGGGTCGACCATTCTCGCGGTCGCATATGACAGGGAACCGCTGAAGAACGTCGCCGATCCGTCTATGCACACGCTCCATAACTTCACCAAGAAGATCGTGCGCGCAGGTTACGTAGATGGATATGTCGTCGAATTCTTCCCCTGGGTCAATGCCCTTCCCGCATCGTTGGCTCCTTGGAAGAGAGAGGCTGCGGAGTGGGCGCCCCGTTTCTCCAAGCTTTTTTCAGGACTCTACAATGATGTGAAGCTTCGAGTGGTACGTTGACTCTACTCACGCTCTCCTGCGGTTCTCTCACTACATCAATGCATCAGTTGGATGGCGACACTCGCCCGAGCTTCTCCGCGTCCATGGTCGAGAAACAGATCAAATACGGTCTCAGTGACAAGGAAACCTCGTGGCTGGTCGCAACGATGTAGGCTCTTTTCTCGAAGTATACGTCCCAGCTGCATTTACTCAATCTCCATACCTATAAGCTCTGCGGCCTTTGAGACTGTGCGTCTGTCTCCTAGTTCTCTCGTGTCCTCGGTAACCTGACGATTTCGTTTACAGATGTCGGGCACATTGACTTGGTTCATGCTAGCTATGGTTTTGTACCCCGATGTACAACGGAAAGCCCAGGCAGAGTTAGATGCAATCGTCGGCCGCAGTCGTCTGCCTTCTTTCGAAGACTTCGAAAACTTGGTCTACATCCGAGCCATCATCAAGGAGACACTTCGCTGGCATCCAGTCGGCCCGCTCGGTAAGCGTCCATTTGGTAGATATGTGCCAGACCTCGTCTCACAATATTTCGTAGGAATGCAGCATGTCTCGACGGAGGTCCGTCATTTGATTATTGTCCCATGTAGTATCTTACTGAGGTCGTTCCCGTGTGACTACCCAGGATGACGTCTATGAGGGTTACTTCATTCCGAAAGGGACGATCTGTATCCCGAATATCTGGTATGCAGGCACATCGCAACGATGTCGTTCGCTCTGAGCCATGGGCTGACCGTCTTTTCGCAGGGCGATTAACCGTGATCCGGACATGTGGGGTCTCGATGCCGACCAATACGTGCCTGAGAGACACATTGGTCCTGACGGTAAACTGGCACCTTCACACTTGGACACGAAGGAGGAGGGTCACGTCACCTTCGGATTTGGCCGCAGGTATGGCGGACTCGTTGCGCGTCAACGTGGTTTTGCTGACGGTCGACTGTTTAGGATTTGCGTCGGTCGTCACGTAGCGCGGAACTCACTCTTTATCAGCATTGCGTATCTTCTTTGGATGTTCAACATCAAGCCTCCTTTGGGCCCCGATGGCAAGGAGATCGAATGTACCGAGAAGGGCATCGATCTTGGCTTGGTCGTGTAAGTACACGCATGATCAGGTGTGCCTTCGGAATACATCAAAGCTGATGATATATACCTTCTGCAGCCGGCCTCAATACTTCAAGCACCGGTTCGAACCGCGCTTCCCGGATGCTGTATCGGTGTACGAAGCCCACAGGGAGCTAATGAACGTAAACTGAGCTCGATGTTGACCCTCTAAAGGGCCTATCGGGAGCAGACACCCCGGAATCATACCTCTTCGAAGTGAGCCCCGGCGGCTTAGCAGGAACCAGAGGGGTTGTACAAATTCGTATCTTTGGTGGCGAATATTCTTGTATTTATCTGTATTGTTGTTAGAAGCCCGGTTATCCCGGTCACATATGATCACACTCGTTTACATCAAACGTAGATGAGCTGTCATTCGGGTCACTTTCGAAGGACGCAGTGAAGTCGCCTCTGTCCTAGAGCCCATCATGCAATTTCCAATCACATACACTGAGCCGCGGGTAGCACAAGAACTACTCAAATGCCATGTCTGAGTAATTGGTACCCAGCTCTTCACGTCGTAAGAATGACAGTGTTGGCCAGCCTTGTCGCTTGTTAGCGCTCTTCGGTTTGTCTCGCCGCTTCACTGCCCTTTCCAGACATAGCCAAAAGGGCCAAAATTGGAGGACCCCTCCGGGCCAGTCAGAGTGTCGTGGAAACGCGGAGGACGGTACAAGTAGCCCCCCTTAGTGAATAACTTGTGTGGACAAGTGTAGGTACACGCGAGATGATCGCATACTTGGTGAGAGACACATACTCCCTCGACGGAATGTCTCTCAGCCTGGCACAGATTCGCTCTCTGGCTTCCGACAGTATGCTCCTTTGGACCTCCGACTCTTCATTTGCACGGCCATGACATGCGCGTGAGCGGCCCAGGGACCGTGACTGGCATTCGATTATTGTTGCCGAAATACTCCCTGCAAGGCAATCTGTGACCTGGGAACTTACTCACCTGCTGGTCAACTGCCTTGCGGTCGACTACACGACCTCCTCTTAGTGCTACCATCCGCTAGACGTTCAAATGCGAAGGCGGGTCGGAGACGACTCGCTGCCCTGGATTCACCTTCCAGGATACGTCCTGTTACGCCGATGAATCTGATCCTATTGGAGGAGGCGTGAAGCCAGATATCTGCGTATATCATAACACCCATCTCGACAAAATCAAGAGCGGGGTCAAGAACCCTACGGATAAGTATTCTGACATGGGCTTCTCCGCTCTGCACTTCGAAGTCAAATCGAGTACATCTCAGGACTTCTTCCGGGACCTCGTGGACGAGGGAAAACTGGGGGAAGGAGGACATGAGTCCTTCAAGTTGTGGATCAACACGACTACCACGACACGTCTCCTACCCAAGCAGATAAAGTGCGCCATAACCTGGGCCAGAATGTCGCGTACGCTACAGAGGCTCAGTGCAAAGCGCCAACATAGGCGCCACTACTTCACCTTCTGTGTCTGGGAAATGGATCCGCTTCATTCGATGGGATAGAGCGGGCGCCGTTAGGCGTGTTCAATTCTTGTCGCTCGCTCATTTCCTCGCGCGCCTACCGGGCGTCTGCCTACCTGGATTCAAGGTCAGATCAAGCGCCTGTAGCACAGCCGCACAGGCAGCGGGTGCAGCGAGATCGACGTTTTCGTCCTATGCTAGGTTTGTTATGCCCAGAAAATCTGTCCAGAAAGTGGATGGAGACGTCGGCAGAACGTTATAGACTTGTTGACCGAGAATAATTGTACACAATGCGCCCAAATCGGAACCAGATTCGGCATGACACGGTTCACTGGCCTCCTGGGGTTGCCACTGTAAGCCTGATGGCAATTGGACTCAAAACCTTGCGGGACGACTCCGCGTCTCGAGTCATGGAGCTCTCAATCTTTCAAATCGTTAAGCTTTCGCGTCGCTCCTCCGTCCCAGCTCGCGACCCTCATGCGGTCGTGTTGCACCCGCTGCCTGCGCACCTCTGCTCGCTGTGCTACAGGCGCTTGATCTGACCTGTAGGCAGACGCCCGGTAGGCGCGCGAGGAAATGAGCGAGCGACAAGAATTGAACATGCCTGTTGTCTCCGAGCGCTTCAACATTCTGAAGCACTTGGAGCTGTTCTGCCAGTTCTTCTGGAGGCATCTGGAAAATCAGCCTTTGCGAATTGACACTAATTATCGCTATTCAGATAATCTCATCTATATTAGCGAGTGTTAGCAGAGATAACATCTACATTAGAGCTACTATTCAGATGCACTTCTTCAGTAGTGCAACTAAGCACTAATTAGTATACTTGGTACTAGTTATAACTACTCTTCACTATCACTTTTTCTATAGTGCCGTGTAGTGCTAACATGATACTACAATAGCACTACTGCAAATGTGATCCTCTAATTTTCGCTATTTTGCACTACTGTAGTACTATTTTGCGCTATTTTAGCACTACTCATCTAGGGGAGACTCAAATAAGATGACAGTCCTTTCTTTATAGCTCATAGTTCTCAACTCAAGCATTACACACCTCTATAGCTGCAAAATCATCATGATAGCTGACTTATATTTGAGAGCACAACTCAACACAGAACTTGTTATAATGTATAGGATTAGGCTGCCAGCATAGCATTTATATCATGAAGCATACTCTATAGCACACTCCATATTATATATATAGTCCCAGACATTACACATATGCAAGCCCCAGCAGATGAATTTCAAAGTGAGGTGTCACCACTTTGTTCGAGTCTAGCAGAAATTGATATATAAAATACCTGTGAATAAAATGTATATATGCTCTGGTGGTGCAGTGGTATAGAGCACCATCTCGGAATAGGTGTCATGTGAAAGTGAGGTCAAGGGTTCAAGACTGGCTGAGGACATTGTTTTGATATATTTTTTCCAGCACTTTAAATGCATCTGGGGCTTATAAACAGATGGTTTTGAGGTCATATAAAGCATTTCTACACCAATCAGAGATCATAGACCCACTCTATCCACTACTATCAACATCTACTATAGCACTATTTCCGTCTACTGTAGCACTATTTCCGTCTACTATAGTGCTACTTTGCACTAATTTGCATTATTAGTGCAAAATAGTGCAATTATTTTTGGGGACCTCTCGATTTTGCACTATTTTTCACTATCCACCTACTGTGTCTATTAAGAGCTAATTTGTACTAAATAGGTGTAATTTGCAAAGGTGGTTTTTATAGATGGGTTCGCTCACATCACGGATGCGGAGCGAGGCTACGATCTCACCGTTGAGCCGGCGACTCCGGAGCAGGAGGAGACCTTTCGCTAGGCAATACAGGACCATATCATAGCTCAGCTTTCTAGTCATTCTCCACCCAGCAACCTCCAAGCTGCAGTGGGGGAGCACTACCAACGCGGAGCCGTCTCCTGTTACGACTGACTGTCGAGCGAGTAAGTGGAGACGAGCGAGGCAGGCAGGAGCGCCGACGAGCTCTGATCGCAGTGAGACTGGAGCGGAGCTCAACAGGCAGGACTGGAGACAAGATGTGTATTGAGCGAAGTATCTACAGAGCGAAATACACGATGGCTTACCTGGAGACAAGAGGTCGAAACTAGAGTCTCCAGGTAGCAAGGGATCCAGCTATATACGAGGAACGAACAATGGGCGCTAAGGGGACAATGGCGTTGCCATGGGCACCGAGTACAAGGCCGTAGGACAATAGCGAAGAGAGAAACAAGGGGAGCTGTTGTCCGTGTGCAAACAAGGGGAAACCACGCCGAATAGAGAACAAGGGGTGAACGTACAAGGCAGTGGTCCGAATCGAAAAGGAAAACGTAGCCCCGTGGGGGCGGTTCGTGAC